CCGATATTCTTCACAATGACCGGAAATGACCTGAAAACTACGTACAGAAAGAAACTGACGAGAGACAAGACGCTCGGTGATGACGTCATTACGTGGAAGTCGAGGCGGGTTCAGATCCTTGATCAACTTTGCAATTGTTTAATTGTTTTTTTAAAAAAGAAGGATAGTGGGCAAAACATGCAAGTTTTGTGATAGCTAGTGCAATGTAATTGGTTTCAAAAACACGCCACTGAACTGAACTTTCACATTCATGAATCAAACAGCAACAGAAAAAAGTAAATCAAGAAATAAGCATCAAAATATTATTAGAGAGCATTCGCAGTGAGAACATGTGTGTAGGAACGGAAAGGCAAATGACCCGGTTTTCCGTTTGGCAAGGATTCTATTGACCCATGCTAAAATTCGAGAACGTGACCACTTGGAAGTACTTCTTTTGCTGATCCAAAAGAAACTGAATTATGTAAAAATACTAAAAAGTTATTAATTCAGTAACGAATTATAAGAAGATTCTTTGATATTAATTTGAGTATATAAAACATTGCACCATTATGTTCTTAGTTGTACATAGCAAAGCTTTTTTTAAATATTGCGAGCGAAGCATGCAGGTGCAACCACTTTCAAAAGCGATATGATGATTAATATGAAAGATGTCATGCATGACAAAGAAAAATAATTATGCCAATAAGTTTAACACGGACGGAACAGGACCTGAAGCAAGAACGATCATTTGCTTCCGAATCACGACATTAAGAGCATTTCTGATTACGAACGGAAAGGCTGATCAAGCGGTTATCCGTTTGRCATGGATTTTGTTGGCTTGTGCCAGAAAATTAAAGGCGTGATCATAATCGCTACTGTTGCGGAAGCTCCAGTACGTACATTTGCAGCCACATTAGCCGGTTCAGATTTTATCAGGGCTGCAAGTTTGTAGCATGAAAATGCTGTGTTTTTTTTTAAAGAAGCAAAATAAAAGAATATCAATTGTGTAAACTTGACGTTCAATTCCTGTCTTCCTGTCTGGGGGAGGATAACCTTTCGCCGGGCCTCATGTTCGTCTGTATAACTAACGATTTGGTTTGGACCGGAACTGAGGCAAAACCATCCCGGAACACCGTGATGAGAAACGAGCAAATGAAATATAATCTGCTTGTTTTGAACATGGTAAAACTCACGGGGATGCTATTAGTATCTTTAAAAATTAGCGATTTAGAAGTTAAATTACAAATCAAACTGAGCAGAATAGTCGCCTTCACATTTTTCTGCACCATCTTGAAAGGTAGCCGTGCCTTTGCATAGAAGCGAGATGAACGGTGAGCTCGCATTAATACAGACATGTGAACTGAATTGTCCAAGGTATTATTAAAAAAGGTCTCTATCATTGCAAGCTCACAGTTTGTCTCGCTTCGAACGATGCAAAGACACGGTGGCGCAGGAAAATATGTTGGGGACTATTCCAGTGTTAATTGATTATAATAATGAAAAAAATATATAAAAAAATACTACACATAACAATCGAAATTTATTCAGTTTTAAAACGTGTGTTTATTGCTGTTAGGTAAACCTCTTGAACATGCAGTTCATTAGACAGTACAATGCAATACTTTATTGTTTCTTAAACGTACAAAAAAYATTTTTATTTTGAATAAATCATCGATCACAACAATAAAATTTCATGAAATGTACTGTGGATTTGAGGAACATACGACCTTAAAATCTTCTCAGTGTGATCTGTAATTTGAGCTCTTTTTTCCTGAGATTAGTCTCGTGATATCGGGTTTTTAAATTTCAGATACAGTACCTGTTAGATAGCCTGCGTCACATYCGGAAAAAATTCCGGAYGTGACGCAGGCTACTGYTAGAAAGATACCAAAGCCAGCTTATTTTATTACAATATAAGAATAGTATCCCCAACAGTTTTGCAATGGTCAAAACAGGCATTGCTCCTTCATTTGCTCGTTTTAAGTGGAACTGTAGTTGTTCAATGATGGGAAATTTTYATTGTGTTCCGTATAATTTACATTGTGTTCTGCACCTCGTGTTCTGGAGATTCTGGGCATAAATCAGCGATTTYCTTTCGGGTTCCGGGGTGTTCCGGGTGTTCCTGACCTTATTCCCTTTTGTTGTTGTAAAGAACATCCTGAGGTCATTCTGTGGACGTGTACTATCTGTTCCTTACGTGCTAAAGCTGACAAAAGCCAAACCGGTACCGCGCCTATCGGAAAGAGATCAAACGAAACCGGTTCCGGAAGAGCATAATGGGACCCAATAAAAGGCAGGAGATTTGGCTGTGTATTCAGATCMRTACAGAACGACGAAGAAAACAGAAGAAAACTTTAGCTGTGAAGTATTGCACCTTWTTGCTCRAAGTATYCTCAAGTGTGACTGAATACTGCTTGAATCATGGTCAGACTGTTTGTTGCGTTCATTGCGTTGTGCCTCATCAACGATGCCTTCCCAGCACCGGCCAAACCGAAAGGTTAGTGAAGAATATRAAACCCTTGAAGTTACTAAGTCATTTAAAAAAAAAAATCCTTTTAATTCACTAAGTACCGGCAATTTTGGAGTTGTAAATATTAATATTTAAGTTACCTGTGCCCTGGCATGGATCAYYCAAGCCGGTTACAGTTTCTATARACGGTGCGTTCTTTTAAATAAATTCACTTATTTTTTCCCCCCAAAGATCGTTGCTCCGATGTAATGGACATTGCATTCATACTGGATGCTAAACTTAGCTTATCTACTTGGAAAAAGTTGTTACGTGTATCTAAGAAGATTGTGGACGAAATTGRTGCATCTGAAGACGGTAATCATTTTGCTGTCATGACCTTCAGCACCGAACCACAAATTGATATRARATTCAACAAATACAACGGATCAGATCTCAGCCGTGAAAAGATCAATGGTGACATCGATGGTTTAAAAAGAAAAACAGGCTATAAGTTTATTGATAGAGCACTTCTTGCAGCASAGAAAGAAGTGTTTACTRTTGAGGCTGGTATGAGACAGAAAGCCAGGAAGGTAAGATGAAGAAGTTTACCATATTATTTCTCTAGGCATCAATGATCACCTTTTTATCTCTTCTTTTTTTCAATTTTTATACTAGTCTTCTTTTCCCCTACTTCGTCCTCCGTTTCATCATCATTTTTTATATTACTCATCTACTTAAAAGCTGTTAACAAATTATAATTTAATATTTTGGTTTTGTCTCATCTTTAAGGTTGCCGTTGTCATAACAGATGGCATACAAACAAAGAACAGAGGTCAGTTTGTGAATCTATACGAAGCTTCCAATGGCCTGAAATCGAAAGGTGTCGAAATTTACTCAGTAGGAGTGGGTGAGGACATTGATGTGCTGGAGTTGCTGGACATGGCCAGCTCAGAGGACAATRTATTTGGTGGAYGGTMTATTTTAAGTGAGTTTGGTGAATTCAAAAACTCATTTTGTTAATCCAATTCAATAGGCCGTTTCCATGGTGTCCTCATCTTACTACCACTATCAAAATGCTTCGCGAATTTTCTTTCTCATTCAAACTCTTATTTCCTCATRAGAATAGTGAGACAATTGGTGGCAATTAACCGAACAAAAGAAAGTGTGCAAGTGTTTCTGGTAGTGGTAGTAAAGACGCTATAATGCCAGTGACCTTCTCAATTTAATTTATTTCGAGCTATAATTTTCAATTAAAGATAATTACGAAATAAATTAATATTACATGTACATTTACAAACTAATTATTATATTACAATACTTTTAAATTTGTATGTGCCTAGAACCTAAATAAATGTGTTTTTTTTTTCTAGTTAGGCTTTTGAATAAAGTATGTTAAATGTAATTACCTTGGAATGGAATTTTTGTGCCTAAGGTTGAACTGTAATTATTGTTAATTAATGAAAAAATAAATTCCAATATTTGAGCATYATTACTTTACTATTTATACGATTTTTTGCATGAAATATATATCATATCATCATTTGTCCTAACTGGAAAAAAAGGGAAGAAAACGGGAAAAGGAATCAAACCCAGGCTWGCAGATAAAAAAAGGAAGATTTACAGTTGGAAAATCACTTTTCATTTTCGATGAAGACACTTGAACAAAAAATCGAGATTTTTCTCACTTTTTAAAAAAAAATACAGGGTCTAATTTATCCCTTGGCAATCGATTGGAAAAAAGGTTTAACTTAATGTTTCATTTTAAAGGGTTTGAAACAGTAGAAAGTTCAGGAATTATAGCCTGGGAAAACGAGTTGAGTGCCCCCACTGTACTGAATTAATCAATGGAAGATAAGGTGTTAATAGTACTAATGTCTTACCATTTGAGTTCAATTTTGAAGAGATATTGTGTTTCATTAAGTTCTTGTCACGCTTGACACAGTCACCTTTCCATTGAAAAGAACATGCAGTATTTTCTCTTTTTGTGAATGTATGAGTGGGACGTAAAGCGTGCGATATGAAGCAACTCATGAGCTGTTTGCTATGAAACTTTTTGGACTAGCGAATGGACTATAGTTAAGGTTTGATCGCAAGGGAGGGAGGGAGGGAGGGAGGGAGGGATGGAAGCTTGGAGGAAAGGTAGGGAGGGAAGAAGACAGTGAACAAAAGGTTAAGCACGACAATTTTTTTTTTGCTACTTTGTTTGAGCTATGAAAGCTTACAGACCAACATACTCAAATTAACAGTAGAAAAATATGTTTTATTAATATAACCACGCTCGAGAGAGCATTCACTTTACAATACAAAATACTTAGTACCAAATCTAATCCAAGCCAAGAAGAAAAAAGCTCCATATAATTGAAGATTGCAAGATTCCGCACTTTATGAATGTCACTAATACAACATAGTATATAGAAAGGAGAAGATCTGGATGAAGATTATTCAGCAGTGATGTTTACTAATACAACTTAGCAATACTTGGAATATATAATGTATAATATTGTCAAGCACGGCCCGGGTCACCAATACATCTTAGTAATAGACGAAGCATAATAGACCCCATTGCACTGAATCCCGAGAGGAAGTGTTGTGGGGGACAAGACAATGGAAGTTTTTTTCATAAGAAAATGACGGCCTATTGTTTTGTCCCTCAGAACAATTCCTCTGGGAAACCAATCAAGGGGCTATAGCTAAGTATATGAAGTTACCACGCAGTCAGCTACTAATACAACTTAGTGTTGGACGGTAGGATAGCTTAAACGCTATATTAAATGATCCAAATCAGGACCAAAATGCCAATGCAATATTATGGTGCAGAGTGAATATTGAGAAAATGATCATTCAATATAAATGACTCCCAGGAAATTGGAAAGTATCACCTATGATATTAGTACAAAATGTGAAGTTTCAGCTCCTAATGCCGACAAGGGGGAAAATGACAATATAAAATCAAATATTTATAAGGATTTGTATGCCGGTAAAATTTATTGGATCGAAAGCTCTGGAAACTAGGTGCTTTAAATTTCTCAATTTCTGGGGTTCAATTTGACTTTGGTTTAAGGGAATAGAGTAACCCGACAGATTTTTTTTCGGTGTTTTGAATTTCTGGTGGAAGACGTGCACTTCCGGTTTGCTTTATGCCAACACTCTTGCATTATTCAATGACTTTTGGCTTTGTACACACCTAAAAATGTTATAAATTGTATTTGATTAAATATTAAGCAGCTAGTACGGCTTCCTTGTTGATTCAATTTGAATCAGATAGCTCTTTTAACCTTAAAAGCATTTGACAAAACTCTAATGTTTAAAGTAAAATACATCGCCAGATATAGCTACAGATATATTTTATGAAATCTTTACCGACATCGGATCGCTATTGTCAAGTAGAACCGTCCCATTAAGCATAAATTGACCCGCAAAGTCAAAAACTATTTGCTCATTAGTTAGGTCAGCGATAGTTTGCACGCAGTTCATCTTGTTCAGCAGCATCTGCTTGGCTTGCGCATGCGTGATGGCTATGCATACTATAAGCCCGTTTGGCCAACCTAGTGTGAATGTGACGTCACAGCACGGTGGAGCACAGGTACCCTTGTGACTTTGCTGTAATGTTTGTTGAAACTCGCTGAAGTCAAATACTTTGGTTTTGACGTCACGAACCATTTTGGTGGCTTGTCTTGATTCACTGGAGAAGAAAACCTACCCGAAAAAAAGGTAAATGAAATGAAGTTTTCTCGTATATAATCGAACGAACAATGTGACCATAAGTTATTTTCTGCTTGGAGTCACACAACACCGGCTGATTATTCTTATTAAAAGYCATCATGGACTGAATCGACAGATGAATATAACTTTACTCTATTGAAACATTTGTTTTACCTTCGACTGGTTCATTTGCAGTAACGATAAGTTAAAAACAACCTTTTGCACAGGCTTAGCGTCGCCTAAGAGCAAATAATCATTTACGATTTCAAAGTAAAGAATGTCCAAGTTGAACAAAACCAATGTTTCGAAATTTTGGACTTTTAATTGTTTCTGTGAATAGYTGACTTATAACGAGGCCAATTAAAAGCCTGTGCAAATGAGTTTGTGCCGCCGGATCTTCAAAAACAGCTGTATGTATCGAATACTAAACTGGCATATTTCTTTCAATCTGCATCTATCAAGTTTGGATAAAATCCATAACTATCAGACTTTGTGCGACATGTAAAAGAGAGATTGAAAATGAGTGATTTAGAAATACAAAATTAATAGAGAAAAAATGGCAAGACATCTATGTACCTTTGTCATACTTTTCCTTGTAGCCCATATATCACCATCATTACCCATCTCTAACGCCAGACCACGGTTAAAGTTTGCCAGTACTCGATGAGTGTCGTTAGAACATCGTACATCAGGCAACTGGATCTGCTCGATATCGCATGTCCCGTACAGATGGCTATAAACTTCTGCAACTGTATGGCCTTCGTTTGCAGGGTCTTGTTTTCCATAGAATAGTCTCCATGCTGATTTTTGCTTGTCTAAGTTAAATGTTGCAACTTCTCTTTGTTCGTAAAAGACGCGAGCAAAAAGGTGGCATTCTATTTTWAAAAAAGTAAGAGTTAGTTACCGAGAACGTAGGCAATAAGCCATATGCATCCCGAGGGCCACAGGCCCATTAAAGAAGTTCTCGATGATTAAGTATTTTATTTATCAATTGAGAAGGTTTTCTATGAAATGTTTATATATTCGACTTAAAAATGACAACAACAACAACAACAACAACAACAAAATAGACCTCATTGGCTTGGGTCCGGGTATATTATTTTCCCAAAATAGGTCAACTGTCTTTCCTAGAGTATTATTTCTTTGTTTAATGGTTGCACACGAGAAGGCACATGAATGTGGATACACCCAAACAAAGAATCATAATCTCAAGGGAATGACACGTGGTCTGAAATGGGAAAGCATTGCACCTAAGATAATATTCCTCCCTAAATCGTACATTCAATCCATGAAAGGGTAAATTTTACACCGTGAAAAGATGAAAAAAATGAAAAAAATTCCTGACGTTTCTGACGCTAGCCGGAGTAAAAGAGGAAAACACCGACGCAGCTCACACTAGTTTTTAGCTAGCTATCTCTTCCGTGCATTCATGAGTTCTTTAACCTTTTCGCTGTATGTAACGCTAACTTAATGAATTTGACTCACCAGGGTTTTCTATCTTGCACATGTCATTCACGACCATTTTTTCGGAGTATGAAGACGGTGGAGTGACTGGTGGCTGTTTTACCTGGAACAATTTTCAAATGGCGCAATACTAAGGTTACATGCAATGAAAAAAATGTAACTATGTAATTTGTATTTTATCAACAACTTAAATATGAATTGATTTTTCCCCTCAGACATCTAAAATAATGAATGTGCATATGCCTTAGTACATAAAAAATACATGAATACAAGTGAATAATATGTGAATGAGTAACTTACCTGTCCACCCATTTGTTGGAAACCATGGCTCATTGAATTTTCTACTGGGGATGTGTTTTCTAAAACAAGATGAACGGAAGATCATTTAYATAAGAAATTTGAATATTTCGCTGTGAAAAGCTGACCATTACGATGCTTATAAGAGAGCCGAATTCAATAGCCTTGATTTGATTTAAGTCCTAGTTAAGGATAGAAAAAAAGAAAAAAAATTCACCTGCTAGCTCATATTCGAGTCCATCATTTTCCATGGACGTTGCTGCGGCATGCAACATCTTCAAAAACAGACCCATCTGAGAACTGGTATTAAGACCTGTGGAAGAAACGAGAACCGAAAGAAAACCTGTTAAGAGACTTCATTTCTACTTGTTGAAGTAATTGATCAAACACGTGAAAAAAGTGTTTAATCCGATTTCTAATCAAACACCAGAGTGAAATGAAAGAACGAGGCGGAGCTGACTTTTTTTTTGAACTAATGAGGTGTTGGGATAGAGGATGACGCATTCTTCCAAGTGCTTAATATGGCTTCTTAAACTATTGATAATTATTGGAAAAAAGATCAAACATAAGTTGGCAAATTTTTATGAAAATTAAGATCACATTTTCAAACTTCTTTCACGCTAGTGAATTTCTTTATTTTGTCATGAACATTAATGTTAAGAATGACATTAATTCCAATTTTAATTGAATGTCTATAGGGGGAGGGGTGGTTTCAGTCTTCACTGCGTATCCGCGTATCCGCGTATCCACTTCAACATATACCTTCATATCTATAGGAGGAGGGGTGGTCTTCTTCACTGCGTATCCGCGTATCCATTTCAACATATACCTTCATATCTATAGGGGGAGGGGTGGACTTCTTCACTGCGTATCGCCACTTCAACATTCATATCTACAGGGGGAGAAAATAAGACACTTCCCGCAGACTTATTGCCGTCATTATTGTTAGTTGTGAAGCCAGTCAGACATTAATTCCAATTTTAAATAAGACACTTCCCGCAGACTTACCGTCATTATTGCTAGTTGTGAAGTCAGAACTTTGAGCCAGGCTCTCCATGCCACTGTAACGTATCCCTTGGTACATTCCAGCCGCACTACCTCCCCCACCGTATCCAATACCCCCACTTTTTTGTATCTCAGTAAAATTCAAAAGCGATTGGCTGTAGCTTCCGTTCGCCATTGGATAATAACCAAGACTGGGGTTAGTACAACTAAAACTACTTCCAAACCCATTGTTTGTCATGCGGAAGTCATTGGGTTGGTATTGCTGAGCCGCCAAGGGGGGTAGGGTAGGGGTAATGTTGTCGATGTTATCTTCGTCATCCGAAAATACACTGGAACCGTTGCTAATGTCTGAAGCATGAGTGGGGCTTGACGTGTGGCTGCTGTTAGGTGAAGGGAACGCAAACACATCAACAGCAGGGATACAGGAATGTTCCATGTATCGATTACTGGCGGCAGGCAGGGATGAAAACTGTTGATAAAAATAATGAGTTAAGATGTGAGAAGACAAGCAGCTATCTACCGCCTGAGGGGGTAAAGTAGACTCGGAAAAACCTGAGGAAATGAAAGTCAGTCGGCTGATTGTATAAAGTACGAAAGATTATTTATTGTACATTTTTGGTTTTTGTGCGGGCAGTCATTTTGTAACTGACATGCAGGATCTAGTAAATGAATATTATGTTTAAAAAATCGTCGAAAAAGAATATAAGAATAAAACATAAGAAACTATAGAAAAGGAGGAGAAGAAAAGAGAAGAGAACAGATAAAAGGACCAAAAGAAAAGAGGCAGCGGTCATTATAAACAACTAAAAGTGAACCAAAACGAGAGCATACAAGTGAATAAGTTTCTTCCTTCCTTTCTTGATGTCCTTAATTTCTTCCATCCTTTTTTGTTTCTTTATTTCATTCTTTCTCTTTCCTTTTTCCATCTTTTCCCCTCTCACTGAAGGTGGGAATGAATAAAATTTACACATTTAAACAAACAAAATGTTGTTTGAAAAACATGGTTGTTCAGCATCTCCACTAGCTAGTCATTATCATTCTTGTGAATGACATGAACGATCGTAGAATGATTGCCGTATCTAAGACCAGTGTTAACAGATGCTGATGTACTTACACTTGATGACCCCTCAGCGGCGTCATTGGTTGGTGATGGGGATGGAGTGTCCAGTACTGAGAAGATCGATGTGGGCTCTGGCTTTGACTGGGACTTTGAAACTACGATAAAAATACAAAGGTGTATCACTGAATGTCTGGTAGAAACATATGGGTGCAAGAGAAAAACTAAAATAACGGAATGCCACTGAGTATAGCTAGCATATCAAATGCATTTAGAAAATGCCAGTGTCCCGATCAGTGTATTACTTAGGTGATACGCCAGAAGACCAACAGGTTAATAAAGTTTATGTATGTATATGTATGTATGCTAGAAACGCATGGAATTTTCCTGTTCGCACTCGAAACAACCTCGTCAAGTGTCGACAGTTTGTTTGTGTTATCACTTTCGCACCTTGTAATTAAAAAGACAGTTTCGAATCCAGTCATGAACTAACGAACAAAAGCACGTAAAAGAGCATTACTGAAAAGGCATGCCCCATCAAATATCTACTATGAACACACATTAAACAAATCCTACTGCTAATTGTTGACTTCCGCACTGCACGTGTGTTGATATCAACGAATGCCGAATTGACGTGTATCTCGGGCAAAGTTCAATAGCCACTTAATAATTCATCTTATCCCGTCATCGGATCGGCTTGGCAAAGGCAGGTCCTTCGTAAGATGCAAGTCGGTACAAATTTTAATAACGCTTTGAATATTTCTTACAAACTCGATTGCGACGGTGCTTTGCCAACGAAATAATGTATGGCAGATTCTAGATGCCTTTGGAAGGTGTTGCGTTATTTAAAACACGCGATTAAGAAGATGGTGCATCATTGCCATAACCTAACCGAGATCAGCAAGCAATCTTCTTAAACTGTATGTAGGGAATGCATTCTTGTGCCGACATTTCAATCTATCGGTATCATCAACGACCTTGCAACCCAGAATGCATGCAATGCATGAACGATTAAAGCTTATCTTTCGACCCAATATGTATGCTTTATATGCGTTCATTCTTGTACTGAATAAGCGCGTCAGGTCAGGCAGATTGATAGCCTATTTAGTGTGCGGGTCGGATCATTTTTACTTCATCATCTAACATGCAAGTGCATGCATGCATTCCATAAATTGATTGCGCATTATGTAACCTATAGCATGCTATAGTGTCCTAGAATCTCAGAATCCCGCGACTTCTAATACAAAAAGCTGCTTAGAAAAATCTAATAAATAAGTCGAGTGACGCTTAGGTTACGAAACTTCAAACGTTGCTTATCTATTCAGAAAAAAAAAATCATTAAAATAACTGACGGTCAATTAATATAGCGTCCTTTAGCGTTTGCAAAAAAACTCTTGTAGAATGAATAGCCAAAATAAGGAAATCACTAGTTTTGAAGTAYGCAATGAAACTTCTTACTAAGAGGCAACGCACGGTTCAACAAGCCTTGCAACATAGTCAATGACACAACGTATTCTATCTTTTCCTTTTCTATCAAAATGGGATCCGCACCTTGAAAGCAGAGACGCTACTGCCAGCCGGGTAAATGGGCTCACAACGTTTTAGCAAGAAAGTGGTTAGCTCTAACTAGGCACTTCATATTTGTAAAATTGAGAAAAGAAGGAAGAGCTAACAATGAGATGGCACATCTACAGCTCCAGTTGACTGGGGATCGGAAAGGATTGGAGTATTAAAAAAGTCTGAAGACATCAAACGTAAATCAAGTCTGAGTGAGGTCATTTAACAGATTTGTCAAATTGTTATCTCGCTCTTTGCATCGCCTAAGAAACGCTCACTTTTTATGCCTAAAAACAGTGCAGAAAATGCATCACTGTAATCGAAAACATCGAATACTAGAAAACGTTAGATTCGAAACTAGAACACGTGTTGATGAGTATGGTATCTATACGTGTATGGGACGTGTCTGGACATTCTACTGTACTGAGTAGTCGTTTTAGTCTTAGCCGTTGCGTATCGGTTCTCTTTTGTCTTCGATAAACAACTCCACACTCAACAATAACTTTATGGGCTGAGGTTGTCATTGTCTAAAAACTCTGAAGGGATGACGTCTTAGGTTTTTTTTATTCTAATATTTTTGAACGTTCAAGTACCTTTAATCGTCATTCTCAATTTCAAAGCGCTACGTTTTATCGTCGCAAAAGCGAAAACATGTTTCACATTAACGTAGCCACAAATTTCGGATTGGTCCGGTTTTCGAGGGTTTTCGGTTTTTCTTACATTTTTAAATATTTTCCTCATATTTTTATCCCGAAAGTTGGTCCGGTTGAAACCGGACTAATTGTAACGGTGGCTACGGCCCTGTTAAAAGTTTATTTTCCTTCTTTTCGCAGAGGGGATGATCCGTTTTGCAATAGTGCATTTTATTTATTTTTTCTCACCGACTTTTTTTAAAGAAACAATGAATGCATTCTTGGCTGCAGTGATTTCGAAACGACATCTGTTAATCATTCCTTATTACTCAAGTAGAGAATTAGAGTTCCGCGCTTTTTCAAGCAAATTATTTCTCCACTCTCGATAAATTTCTCGAATTTTGGAAGCATTTAGGGAGCAATAAGGGGATTGGAATTGGAAGTGTACTGGACACGTCATTGAAATGTCAGTACATTTGCAATAGAAAACATGACTTCAGACGACGCTTTTCATAGCAAACTATTAGTATTCTTTCATCAGAAGTTGCTTTAAATTTTAGATAAATGATACACAATGTCTTATGTCATCGATTCTCCGTTTTGCTTGCTTACTTCGACGACTAGTTTTGAAGMCAATAAACGGAATTTGAACGCCTCCTTCTTGACGAGCGCTAACTCGACGTATCATGTGACCTGTCATATCTTCTTGACCTCGGTACTTAAAGTGGTCTAAGACAAGCCCGAGTACGCTTTGAGAGCCGTGCGTTCATTCAGTCGTGCAGTTAGCATTTTCAAATCATCCTTAAACTATGCATTAAACAATTCTAAACTAGCGTAAGATTTGAAAGGTATTTTGCTCTTATGTAATACATGACTTATTAAAACGAGACGGACATTCAAATAAAAGATCCAAATCAATAGTGATTCTGATTGTACGTTTATTGCAACCTAATAATCTATTTTTGGACACATTACAATAAAATCATTTGGTTAATCTGTGATTTTTTAGGGTGTGTGTGTGATCAGAGGTCGAGCTACAAATATTTTACCAATGAAGTAATCATTAGCTTTAAGACAGATAAGGGGATTCCCGGCGTCTATAAGATTACATCACTCGCTATGAAAGGCAGCCTTACACCGCGGAAGCTCGTAAAATAAGTACTTATTTATTACTTCTTGAAAGGCCGTTCTAGACTTTTTAGYATTTAAAATAAACCTTAAAACAGGTTTTTAATTATTCAGTTTTACACTTTAACTTATTATTTTTGTAAACTAGTTTTATTCYAACAATCAATGGAAGATCGATCGAAGGTGTGTTGTTTTTTCCGGATGCAAATTGTATTCTATATACAATGCATATTATTGTCCTTATACCAGAAAAACAAAACGTACTTGCGAACGCTTTCGCTAATTTTTACTTTTTCAATCAACTGACAATCAGTTCTAGCTCCTAAAAGTATTCAATATTTCAATAATGGAAATTAGTTTAGTTCAGACGGAAATAAATGTGTCTCTTGAGTGCTTAGTGATGGATTAACATCTGTCAGTTGATTTATTACTACCGATTTCAATTAGCAAAAGCAAAAGCAACTATGATTTTTAGTTCAAATAGTACTGCCTCTTTTTCATTAAAATACTTGAATTGCAAAACTGCTTATTTGGTTTTAAGGATTTAGTAAATTATTTTGATCTATTAATTTGGAGGTTCAACGTGAACTGTCGACCAACTGAATGGATCAATGAATGGCTTCCAGCATTCACGTAGAAAGGCTTCCTCCTAAAGTAAACACTTAATTCAAAAAAAAAACAACCAAACTTTGTTCAAAATTCTAGGAGAATTAAGTTAATGATGATTCTAGCAGCAAGTCTAAAATGTGTGACAGTGTTATAAAAGTCTAAAATGTGTGACCAGTGTTATAAGGAAAGAATATTTCGTGAATTATTTCGTGTGTTGCGAGGCGATGTGTGACAAACTAGTTGTGTTACATGCATCATTGATGAAACCACAGACAAGCATTCTTCCTGTTGGTTTAACAACTAATAAAACTTGCAAAACAAGCTCTCACCTTTGGATTTCACTCGAAATACTCTGTAGGGTTCTTTCTCATCAAGGCTGTGAGGCACACGAATCTCTTCAATGTCAGGCATTTTACGTAGAGCACATCTAAATCTAGTCTTCCAGGTCGACGGATCAGGTTGTTCACCACGCTTGTATTTTCCAGTGTGTTCTGCCCACATACGGAACAGAACAGCATCTTTATCCTGTTCAAAGTCAGGTTTTCCGGCGTGCTTCCACGTTATTCGGAATTTTGTCCTTTCCTTGTCGAGCCAGCGCAGTCCAGGGACTTCTCCGCTGTCCACTCTTTGGATCAACCAAGGAACAAGTTTTTCTCGTTCAAATTTCATCTATAATTGTAACGAAAGTCTTCGATCAGAATCAAATCATCAGGTYGCTTTTGTTTTTTAAAATGGACATACCTTTTTCTGCTTGGCGCCTTTGGAATCTCCCACACTGCACCTTTGAATCATTATATTACTCTSTAGTAAATGGTATGCCAGCCGACTGACCTTTAAGCTTGTCTTGACAAGCACTAGTATTTAACKCAAGTCATTGCCGTTCGAGCTATAATAGGAACGGGCATTCCCCTCGAATTAGTTMTTCGAATCTCATTGGTTGATTTTTTTGTTTTCGCGCTAAAATAAAAGAACTTATTTGCATAAGCTTTAGTTCCGGTAAAACAAATKACCATGATATTGATAAGCCCAGATGTCGCGAAAGAAAAACTGTAAAAAAAATATTTTCTTATTCTTCAGCAGGATTTCTAAAGATAATTCAGATTTCTTTAAAGTTCCTTTGAAAAGAATGACAATGAGYTTTTCAAAAAAAGTTTTAAATTAGTAAGGCTCTATACTAGGTTAGAAAACAATGACACTTTAATGTCTACTGTTGCTAATGCACTTGTCTTATGAAAAAARCCAAAATGTTTTGTTTTGTTCAATAGGACATTATGTTGGTAATATTGACTTTAAAACACTTGTTAATTAAGTGACTTTTCGATATTTGCTCTCAGATTTAACAAAAATAAAGCATGGAGGAACTTGAAACTCGATATAATTTTTTTCATGGAATTTCTTTAAATTCTAATTGACTTTGATAAATTATTGAAAACCTTTACTAACTTGACATAAAAGAAGTGTGTAAACACTTTATTATAAGCATTCAAATTGGATCAGTTTAAGAAAATCTTTCTTACTTTCGAAGAACGTGATTATACAAATATTTTGCTTTTATTTTAGCTAGTTAAATATTTGTTGCATCACATTCAAAAATGTGAGACATACATGCATGTGCAAAATGTCAGGGATTGTCCAGCATTCAACAAATTTTTAATTTATGCATTGTTGTGACGAAAAAGTTAGCAATTAWATTTTGGACTGCTTAATTTCCTTTAAAAATATAACTCAGACTGTGCACTGTTCAATGATTATGGTCACATTCGTGACTTGAAATTTTTGAACTCTGAATGATAAGCCTCTTAGTGATTTACCTTGGTTATTTTAATTGAAAAATTGTCACCAAAAAAAAAGTCATCTTTATGGTAAATGGACTGTACCTTTAAGACTAAGTAATTATGGTTGCTTTTATATAGAAAAAATAATGAAATAGTACTATATATGATTTTATCACGTTGCCAAAGTTTAGTAGTCAATTGCGTTGAAGTTGTTGTTCATTTTGCTGCCACAGACCATTGTAGAAGGTTCTTGAATTATTTAGCTTTATCCCTTTTTCTTTCTTCCTTTTTTTTTTTTGTGAATGGTATTTCGTTACTGTTTTCCTTTTTTAAGATTTATTAACGTTTTGCGTATTTTCTTAAATATCAGTAGCAAAATTTCACAATTTTAAATCAACGCCTAGGAAGTTTTTCGTTGGCACCTTTTTTATCAATGCAGCCATGAGGTGTATTCGTTATTGAGTGATGCATAGAAGCTTAAGTACAGTAATGGCAATTCCTTTTATCTAAGTTATTTACTTTTTCTTGGTCGTGCTAAGTGCTGCATGCTCGATCATGTGCAGATCACATGAGGTAACTTAGCGGAAGTGGAAGACTCAGCCACGTAAAACAATGATATTGCTCCAATGGAGCGATCAGCCGCACACTCTTCTCTAAGCAACAGCGAATCCAATTATTGCAAACCAATACAATTTAAAAGCTAAAAAACACCTAATGTCTGAATGTGTAGTGATTTATCTAACAGCTAGTCATTTATGACTTCTTTATATGCCGTCGATGAGCGTCTGTTCAATCTAATTGAAAACTTGCATGAATGAAACAAGGTGTGGGCTGCAAATAGGGGCACTGTTGTCTCCGTACTTGTCGTTTTGTTTTCCCGATAACTTTCTAGATTTAATAAACATCAAATAATGCGGWAGTCGATGAAAGGATAAATACATAAAAGAAAGATAAAAGATAGTTTTGACCTCATGCTTAAACAAATGYTTCAATCGAAAGCAGACGACACGATGTCTATTTTCAGCTCTGTCAGTGAAAATTCTGGCAACTTGCAATCACCAATTGCAGTGGGATTGACTCAGTTTTCATTCACGGCACTTTTCCTTAGTCAAGATACATTGCTCTACGTTTAGCACCAGTATCTTTTTATTATTTGCTACCAAATTAACAGAAAAATAKATTTATACTTTTAAAAGTGTCATATTTTTGAAATGTGCCGAAACCTCCCACATAGCAGCAAATGCTTGTGTGGGGAAGTACACGAGGYAAGTTTATAATAAAGATCTTTCTATAAATAGATAAAACAAAAGAAAGCATGGTTTTTTGGGGGGTATTTGCCGTGATTTTATATTTGACTGGATCCATGTGGAATTTAGGACTAAATTAAATWTTGATATTAAAATTACAGTAATATTTGCTCTGTAAATTTCCTCTTTTTTAATGGACGCTGCATCGTTACAATTACCTTAGGCAACAATATAGAAAGTGAAGAGACGTCACTTTCCATGGCCTCTTCTAGTAACTTTGCTAATTCAACTTTCCAAAAGATGATCAAGCTTATATGGTTTTTGTACTTTGAATTATAATAACGTAAAAGCAGACATAACAAAAGACAAGACTCCAATACAAATTGAAATTTTTTGAGTTGACCATAAATGACTGGACCCACAGCACGCATTCTTAGTGGCGAAAGTTAACAAGTGCAGAATTTGGCATATCAGCTATCTCGACTGTGAACCAAAACATCAACTTTAATAAGCTGAATTTTCCTCTAGTTTTATAGATGATACTTGTATACAAAGTCCATAATTACTCTTCCAGCGCGGGTGGTGGGTACCATTTTTTCCTTGTTCTGTTTGAATTTTATCCAAATCAGACGACTAGTATTTGTCCCAACCAAAACAACAAAGTGTTAGATTAAAGACAAAAACGATACGCAAAATGCCATGAAACGTCAAAAAACTCAAACAAWTTTTTATTAATTATTGTATAAAGTTTATTTATTTTTAAAAAAAGTGAATGGATTTAACCCAGCTTCTAGCTGGGGCTCTAAAAATCGTATGAATAAGTAAAGAGTAATTTATTTAATTATTTATCAAAGCTAATTAACTGTTGGTTTCTAATGCCCTTGTACTTCCAATTTCTCATATTCTTTCAACTTCGTATTGATCATCATGTTGGGAGACGCGGATACTGCATCKATTATTACGTACGGCACATGCATAGCCGCACTTTAGTCATGTCATGATGTCATGTCATTATATGCATGATGTGTCATGATTGGATGACTTAAACAAAGGGAAACATTTGATTTTTTCTCACGGCATACACCGAATCAAAATATGGTGATCAATTTGATTAACTTTTGTTCTGGACTGACTAGCCTCTCTTAGATGTGAGAACGCTTTTGGGTTTCCACGTGAACACGCGAGGCTAGTCAGTACAGAACAATAATTATTCAAATTCGGCGCAATGTTTTGATTCGGCATATAGCGACCGCGTTTTTAACTACTTAGTGAATACTCTTTGTTTCTAACTAACTGTATTCCCCTAAATATTCGTTTTTATTTTGCAAAAAAAGTAATGAAAGGAAGAAGAAAGACAAAAAAAAAAAAAAAAAAAAAAAAAAAAAAAAAAAAAAAAAAAAAAAAAACAAGAGAGACTGAAAATCAAAATAACAAAGAATAATTTAATTCCTGAAACACAGAGAGAACATCGAAAGAATGAAAAATACAAAGAAAGAAAGAGGGAGAAATATTAAGTAAAGAGAGAGGATAAAAGAAGTCAAGAAAAGTTAATGAATACATGATGCACATTGATGACTGGTTTTGTTGTCACTGGCGGATTCCCTGTGTCAAGGTTGGGTTCCCTGTGATAACTGGTCAGCGGTTGTACATTGTAGAACGTATTTAGCACGTACAGTAAGTACAGTGGCAAGTCGTACTGTATTCTTCTCTGAATTTGATTTAATTTTGGTTCACGAATGTTAAAGATGATCTTAGGTGCAAATGAAAGTCCGAATTTGATCGAGCAGAAATTCCATCCGAGTATGAAACTGTGATTAGCAGCCACAGTTCTTTAACGTTTCCCTTGAAGGCCCTTACCTTTATCACCATGGAAACCAATGCAACGTAGAATATTAAACATAGTCTTCTACGAACCTAAAACTATACATAATTCTTTTGCTACAAAAGCTAAACTCTTATTTTCAATAAGCAATAAAAGTCACTATATTGAATGACTTGGATTTTAGAAAAAAATTAGGAAATATTTTTAAAAAAAATCAGTGCTTCAAAATTCCTTATGGAATTGTTAAAATAATTGTTTTTATATCTACAAAAATAACTACAAATATTGTTTACTTATTTGGATGGATAGCCGGAATGTCCTTATTGTGGGTGGATAAATTTACTACTTTCGTTCCCTCCCCTCCCTTCCTTTGTCCGAAACGGAGCACGTACAGGGTCTTTATTCCATGCGGATCTAAGAGAGGTAGGATGGAGGGGCCCCCGACACCCGTGTTACACTAAGACACACCCCCGACAGCACCCTTTCCCACCCCACCCTCTACAGTGTTTTTTTCTTTGACCATATTGCACCACTGTCAAGTATAAAAACCTAGTCATTAACTGCTTAAGTGATTTGGCCAAACTATTATCGATCACTGATGATTGGCTCAGAAACGCTCTGTCCATGACATATTTTCTTTCCCAGAATGCATCTCTTAGCTTGCACATGAGTAATGACGATAGAGACAGACGCATTGCTGGGTTGTTGGCCAAGAATGAATGTGACGTCATAGGGTGAAGTGACACAGTTTTCAGTTTTACCCTCACGGATTTTGCGCTGAAACTCGTCGGTGAAGTCAAACACTTTGGTCTTGACTTCCTGTAAAAGTTTGGTGGCTGGTTTTGATTGGCAGGCATAAAAGACCTAAGATGAATAGTAAAGATCAACATGTATCAAGCAATACAACAGTGTGTATTGAAGTTTATGAGAAATAAGCAAAGAAGCTAGTGGATCGATATACAGCTATTTTAAAAAAAATTATTTTTATGAGTGGAGTATCCTCATTAAATATTATTATTATTATTATTATTATTATTATTATTATTATTATTAGCTAAGGTTGTAGGTTTTGATGCAAGTTGCAAATTTTGCAGGTCACCTGCTGCATATTTCAGAGCTTATTGTTTCTTGTACCTCTTTTTCTTAGTTTATTATTTATTTAATTCTTTTTTWATCATTTGAATGCTTCAGTAAAAAATAAAGGATTTTTTCTACAAATGGACGACTTGCACGTCTCTCTCACAGGTGACATGACCATACACTCCTTAAAACAAGCATTCGCATCAAAATAAACACCAGAATATGAAGACTATCCTCGATATTAGTAAGAAGGCGCAGTATAAGGTCACAAYATCGACCAAATAAGCAGGAGAAATAACGCAAATATCGAAAATTGTGTACGGATTTGTAACGAAAATGTGTTGGCTAGCACACGTATGGAGATAAATTAAAAACGTATCGTCTTTATCAAAAAAGCATTATTTACCTTTGATAAGCACAACCTTGTTGCCCAAATATTCCCATCACTGCTCATCTCGACCACAAGACCTCTGTTAAAGTCTGCCAGCTCACGTTTGACATCAGCAGAACACGACAAGTCTGGCAGCTGCACTTGTTTGGCATTGCACTGGCTGTAGTAACCTAAACCGGTATTGCTTTCCTGTTTGACCTGTTTTCCATAGAACAGTCGTAGGATACTTTCATCTTTCTTCAAGTCAAAGGCAACCATTTCGGTTTCTTCGTAAAACACACGAACGGACATGAGGCATTCTGAGACGAGAAGAGCAAAATACCTGAATTTCAGGACTTAATATTCTTATTTTAATGCATTTTTTTTAGATATAACTGTACAATATTTCAGTACTAGGGCTAAATGTGGGTGGCATGATTGCCGTACGCTGTAATGCGTCATCTTCCACTACTCGTGAGTTTTGTTAGTCCTACAAGTTGGGTCACAGGTTTGCCACACTTGAAATGAGTTTTTTTAATGAGGTTTTCTCTCCCATGCTACTAGCTTTAAAAAAAAAAAAACAACAAAGATTTGGAAAAAAAAGAAAAAAAGAAGAAGAAAAAAAAAAAGGAAAAAAGAAAAGTAGAGAAAAAGAAAACAAGTAAGAACATGANAAAAAAAAAAAAAAAAAAACGCGCGCCGGCCGCCTATCAAGCCTGCAATTATGATATAATAGTGGAATTTTTCTGTTTGCAAAAATCATTTTTGCAAAAATCATCATAGGTTGTCGAATAATCATTTCGTACTCTCCAAGAAAAATATTTAATTTCAGCAATTAGGAAACAAAAACCAAAAAATCAAACACTAGACTTGCCTTGTGCACTGCCCGTCACCCATTATAGCGTGCATGACCACATGCATCACATGAAAGGTACTAAATAAACCCCTTACACTAATTCCCAATTGGGGGTYAAAACAAAAGAATTTCCTTCTCTTGAGGATTGAAATATTTTATGATGTTAATATKTTACCTTTTTTGACCCCCAGGTTGGGATTTWGTGCAAGGGGTCTCTACTTTGTCTAACTTAACATYGATTATCGTACCTGTCTTATCTTTGAAATGTTTAGTAGAAATTGCCAACTTTTCCAATTCATAAAGTGTCACTCCGTTTGCAGACGAGTAACTTGAAACTGGCTGCATCTTGAAGATAGATATCATTAGATGAGACAGGGACGTGGGAAAGAAGGGYTGCTTATCTAATTAAATTTCAGAGCATCAAACACAGTAAACTGTGTGTACGTGCTTTCATTAAATATTTTGCATCTTGAAGACAGATAGCATTAGATGAGACAAGGACGTGGAAAAGAAGGATGATTACGTGCGTCAAAAAGAAATGTCAGCGGGGCATTGAACAATGGCACAAAGTGTGTGCTTTTATTATACATTTTCGTGCTTATAATTGGTTTGCTTGTTTTATTAAATGGATCTTTCAGTGCAAAATRAACAAGAAAAGAGTGCCTTATTCAATATATTTATCCAAACACCAAGAAGAATAAAATAATTGAGATAGACTGAAAACGAGAATCGAACCGAAAATGCTCACAAATTTAATAAAACAAAGACAAAGAAAAAAAAAAAAAGAAAGAAAAGTTTCTCAGTGTTCTAATAAAAAGAGGATGTCTAAGAGTGAGAAAATTATTACAACATTTTATCAGTAACTTCCAGTGTCTGTTGATGCTTTTTTTTTTTTTGATTTTTTTTTGATTTTTGATTTGCTGTGTAGTCAATAAAAGGCCTTCGAAACTACAATCACTTTATATTATGAAATACTGCTACAGCTTTTCATACCTCATTCATTTTCGTTGTTGAGTAAGTACTAGTGGTGGAAATATCAACCATGTTGCTTCCTAAGACACAAGAATTGTAGCTGTAGTTTATACAAAGCAAGAGGTTTGGACAAATATTTGTTAGACCACCTTAAATGCTTATGCGTCCAAGACAATTGCCAACGTGGCATGTTTTATCGTGTTTGGCTTCGTCCATCAAATTTACATTTGTCTTCAGAGTTATTAACTTATRTGACTGACGGAAGCCAAAAAATAGTCCAGATGTTTAAAAGAAGCATAAGCACTAACAGAGCTCTAATATTCATAGTCTGTCAGATAAAATGATAAGAAAACTTACCAGAGAAACCATTACTAAGTTGTGGCATTTGGTTCATTTCGTGCACCTGAAAGAAAGGAGACGCTGAGATTTTGACATAAGTACACATGTTTGAAAAACACAGCTATTTAAATTGATCGTCATATTTCCATTCGGTGCATAAGACTCAGCTATAAGGATATATCATTGTGAATCTCTTACCATTTCCATTGGAAATCCTGCATGAAGCATCTTTAGCAGACCAGGCAGTTGGCTATTACTACCTGTAGGTCGGCAAACGAAACACACGATCAATATTGCAATCAGTAACATCATGTCAGCAAATAAGAGAATATGAGGAAAAAAATATAGATGAAAAAATAGCAAAGGTTAAAATTGAGCAGAGAATTTGAAGAAATTGATTGCCCTTCATAGGAGTTTTCCATGTCCACCTTAGTAGGGGTACTATTGATGACGATAACCAAAAAAGTGAATGATTGGATATGATGTTGGTGTACGTTGAGCTATCTACAGCATTTTTTGTATGAATATTAGTTGAGACGGTATATATTGGATACGCGGTTGTGACAAATAGTGACCATGATGATACYGTATCTTTTTGATTGGCTTGAGGTACTTCGCACGCTGTATAACTGATTGACATTAGTTGTCAGTCATATTTCCGTGCACCTATAGCGTAAGCTTTAATTAAGACTTATGATYATTAATTACCATTTTGTGCTGTAAAGAGGGAGCTTTGACCACTATTCCCCATGTTGTTCGTCATTCCACTAAAAGGCGTCGCCTCGTACATTCCAGTCCCACTACCTCCCCCTCCGTAGCCAATCATCGAATCGCTTCTCACGTTTTGTAATTCGGTAAAAGTTGGCTCACACTGGCTTTCACCACTGGACATCGGGTAACAAAATGTATGGACACTGTTGTTATTGAAACTGTTAGTAAAGTTTGCCTTCATGAAGTAGTCATCGCTTATTCCATATGGTACTTGCTGGGGCTTCATGCTTAGGGTATCCATACTACTTTCCAAGTGYCCATTGGATCCAAAAAGTCCTATGGGGGGTAAGGTAGGTGTGATGTTGTCAATGTCATCCTCAGCACTACCATACATGCCTCCAGAGGTACTACCATTCAGGTCAGCGGAATGTGGTGGGCTTGATGCGTGGCTGCTGATGGGAGAGGGGAATGCGCAGATATCTGTTGGGTTGTAGGACATGGTGCCGTAGTATCCATTGTGAGCTTGGAATGTACCAGGCTGTCAGATAAAATGCATAGAACAATATAATTAARAGTTAAAAAATGCATTGCATTCACGGCTAGCACGTAAAGCTTTTACATTAAAAGCAACATTTCAAAGTTTCTTTTAGGGATCTTGCAGTGTGACACTCGTCACAAACAGATTTTCACGTGCGTGGGTCTTASAGCGAATCCGTGAAGTGAAGTCTTGTAGTAGGAGAACAGAGAGGTTTTGAAATAAGACTGTGTGATTGTTCGTTTATTATTTCGGCGGGTAAAGTGTTCCAAGTTCTTGCAGTGKGGGTTTGATAACTGTTTTGGAAGGATCGAGTTCTGTGTGGACTGTATCTTCAGAGTGGAAATTAATTCGGGTTTTTCTTTTCATAGGCTGCTACTTTTGGGCCTCACGTTGTCGTTCAGCAAACCGTGGRTGACTTGGCAGAAGAACACCGTGTCTAGATGTTAATACCAGAATGTCTGCGTTAAAAGGCGTACACGTAGGAGTCGACTCAGTTCGGTGTAAGAAAGTTCGGTAACATGACCAGGTTGTACGTTGGACTCTTTCGCTGGATTTATTCTGATGATGAGTTYAACCTCTTGCGGGACTAGACTTGTGAAGAGTATGAGAAACTAGTGATACCTTACAAAGGAGATGTATAGAGGTGACGTCTGGCTTCAGGATTCTTAGGCTAAATGTAATCACAATAACTAAAACAGCAACGACAACAACCAAAGAAACACGCATGCAACAACAGCAACACCCACAACAGAAATAACATCACCAAAATTTACAATATCAAAGACTAACATAATTACAACTAGAGCAGCTGCATAACAATAAGGATAAACAACATGCAACGACTGCAAGAACAAACGTACTACTGATATACRTATAGACGAATGACCCCCTGTAAATTAGCACAAGATAGACTGTCACTGAGTYATTCCGCAAACCCCAAACTAGTAAATATAAACACAAAAAAGTCAATTTTTTACTCACGTATAAGAATCCAGTGTCATAATCATTAGGAGGCGAGGGAGACGGCGTGTTGACTGACAGAGAAGATGATGTTCTTAGTTTTGATTTGGGTGAGCAGGGAACTGAAGCGAAAATTACAGATGAATTAATGTTATTATGSCTGGCACTTTTCAAAGTTTACATCGCCACATCATAAAGATTTAATCAAATATGYCACGAAAAGAGATTTGACTAAAATTAAACTGCATAAACTTCAATTTTGAAGCGCAGATCGCTCTTTTTTAGCATATATGATTTATAATATAATAACTAAAAAAACARCAAGAATCCCCAAAAACTTAAGTTAACGACAACAATACAATTTGAATGAAAATAAATAAATTCTAATTTGCTATACTACTTCTTTCTTTTTTCTCTTTTATTTACTCTCTTTGTATGCATCTATCTGTTGGAGCCAAACTAATGAATGGTAGTACTAACGAGATTTTAGCAGTCAGTTGTCGCACATACTGTTTGAATATCATATTGGCATTCTTTGCCAATGTAAACATCTTGGGATCTTTTAATATCCCATACATAATCAATTGGTGGTACCAGCACTGATGCCCTGATTGCCACTGAAAAGTGCACATGCAGCAGTTTGAAAGCTATTTACTTCAACCTATGAAATCCTCAACAACATACTTTGAAAATTTAGCGTATTTTACTCCACTAAATTAGCTTGTCCTGTAAAACTAGATGATGTATCTACCTTTGCCCTCCTTTGCTCTCCTTTCTTTCCCTATTTCCTTGGTAAACTGTTTTCAAATACACACTCTCATATTTCAATAAGATTGAGAGATCTATCCGTCTTTTTCGAGTGACCTTGATAACTGTCAAGTCCATTCTATTCACTGCTCAATTCTCATCAAGTAGAACACGTGTTCAAGACACCTTATAATTAATGTACAAAATATTAATTATTTTGTTTGATGGCCCCACACTGACTACAAGTGTTATTGAGTCTTGTTGTACATGTCAAAGAGATCAAATCTTCGTGAAATAGTCAAGTTATAAAGCGTTAAAAACAATATTTTAAAACCTTTGCTGAAGCGAAACTTACAACGGTGCAGAGATAGAAAGCTTAAAGTCTAGCTAATATAAATTTCAGCCATAAGTTTTTGTTAAGAACATTTCACCAAAACTTGCAAAACTTATAAAACTTGTATAAAATATATACAAGTTTTACAACATAATTGCGCCGTGGACATCCCTCGTGAAACCTTTCTTTCAAACTTGACCTTGTCCGGAAATACTTAAACTAWACACACTCTTATTGTTTCGAGAATTTGTAATTAGAAATATTCCTCATTTTCTTAGAAATATTCCATGGACCAGCATCTATTGACAAAATGGCYAAATATTGTATAAGGACACTGGCTGGGTATTCAAAATTAAAAATACAATGTGTAGTAGAACACAAATATTTATATATATATATATCGTAGCTGTTGTGCATGTGGTTTAGCTTTTATAAAAAGCCTGAAACAAGATTGACATACAACAATTTAATTTGACCAAGTTCATTTTTCAAAACATATCTTCCAGCTTCCATTTTGTACATCTTTCTTAAACAATGTTCCATRCAGGGCCCATGATCTGGTGACAAAATGGCTAAATCTTGTATAAAGGAACTGGCTGGGTATAAAATAAATACRAAGTAGTAGAACAAAAAATCAAAAATTCTAACTGTTGTACCTGTGGTTTGGTGTCCGATGAAAATCGGCACAATTTTTCCAAGTTAATTTTTAGAAAAAAAATCATTTTTCAAAAGATATCTCAAAAAGTTATTCTTCAAAAAATATTTCTAAAGGACAGAACAGATAARTATTTGCATAACAAAATCATTTGGCATTTCTAATAATAACATGCTTTTGTTTTTCTCTCAACGGGCACAGAACAATGATTGGACTGAGAAGCGTGGCCAATGTACAAGACCTTGGCCTTGGCATGTTGGTCCACGATGTTGACTATTGAACCACACAACATGCATGTTATTGAGCGTGTGTGACTTTGTACACAGTAATAATAAATGATAAAACTGCAAACAAATAAAATAGCTATATGTTAAGTTTATAAARTAGCGTTTTCCGTGCTCCGTTCAGTGCTTATGGCGCTTCCTAAGCGCTTCATTATTGAACCGAGCTCGGAAAAAGCTTTTTTATTCGTTTTATTATATAGCTACTAATTWTATTTCGGTATTGAATTTATTTACGCAAAAAGGAAGACGGTCGACGGTCGCAGGATCTAGCAGAACTTCGCGCGCGCGCATGGCGTCAGCATTGTGCTCCTTTCACTAATAAAGCACAGTTTTCGACCAATTAGCGCGCTTACTATCATAACTATATTATAAAATATTTTACTTGTTTAGAGGGATTTTACTCGGCTTTACTCATGAAAAAAATAAAATAAAAAAGAGGAAAAATTTGCAAAAATAAAACATTGGAATTAAGATCGACTAATCTCTATTAATGCATCAATATATCAGTGAAAATGTTAATTAAAAAAAAAATACACAAATTAGTGCAAAGTTTTGTAGGCGTACGGTCTACTGAGGTCTAATGAACTTACTAATTTTGTGGAAATTTGTGCACCTTATTACAAAGTTTTGCACGGAAATATGGTATGCACTCTAGCCTACTAGATGTTTCTCCAACCAGTACTTTACGCAAACAAAGGTAGAAACGAGAAAAATACACAATGGTTGGTCGATATCTTCGTTTCAGCAACGATGTAGCGGGTCCCCGACGCACGACAGGCGGTGCGCTCTCCATCCTCTTCCGGATGTTCCCTAAAACTCTAAGCTACACGGATTAGAGAAAAGTCGAAACAATGCATGCATCCGCTAATGGAAAACGATCCTAAAAGTAGTTTGAACTATGCAATTCCTTGTAGAGCTTTTAGTAATTTTTAAAACAAAGATAATTCTCCAAACAATGAACTTCCGTTCGTCACCTCTGCGATCGTTCGCTCGCTCGCACCAACTGGTCTTCTGTGAGTAGATTTCTCCTATGCTCAAGAGAGCTCTTATCTGGATTTTCACGTTCTCTCATGCTCTCTCTTTCTGTAAAAATGAATTCGATTAGGGAACGAGGGCCACAACTTATTGATTAAAYAATGCTGCCCTCGTAAATCAAGAACGGTTTATTTATTTGCTCATCATCAAGAACAATTTATTTATGGCGATCGACCGTTATATCACTTCCACGTTTCTTTTGAACGCCGCTTTGGTTTTCCTAAATGCATCCTGTGATCCATAGAAAATCAGAGTAAGTTGACTATAATTTGAATAAGATGCCATTTTACCAAGAAAATGAGGATTGATATAATACTGGATACTTATCATACATCGATTACTCATATCAAGGGATTCCCCGGTCTCTTGTGGACAATGACGCAAACTTAACTTCCAGACAAGCGAATATCAATGAACGTCCAAAGGGAAAATTCGAGCATATATAGAGAAAAACCTCAGAACTGAAAGATATATATTAAGATTATCTATTGATATTTTAAAATTCAGATTAGATAGACCAGTTTGGTTGTATTCCTAGGGTGCCCTAATAAACACTTCTGGTTTATTACTGTGCCTTTGTTTGCCTTCCGGTCATTTGATGCATGAATACGTTTAAGCAGACATATGACCGAGACGAATAACAGTAATGTTCTTTTTATAGAAAGTACATGGTAAGATTTCCCCGTAGTGTTTGCACAAATTCACAGAACAGGAAGGTTTTAAAGAATTTGTCTTCTGAATTAAGCTCATTTCACGATAGATGATGGTTATTCATTGGAAACTTAAGACCACATTTGAATATTCAAAAATACATGAAACTGATTCACGAGGCACAACAGATACATAACAACAATCACTTCCATTCAATTAATACTATCTTTTTCAGGTTTGCTACTGGATTTTCCTTCCTTTCTTCCTTCCTTCCTTCCTTCCTTCCTATTTTCCATTTCTTCTCTCCTCTTTTAATTCTCAATCAATTGTGAGGAACCGATAGAAGAATCTATACGTCAAAAAGAAAAAAAAAACAAAAACAAAACAAACAAGGATATGCATGCAAAACTGTAAAACCGATACAGCTGGCGACTACTTTAAGCAGCAAGCTAAACGATACATAAAATATTACAAAGATCGGAATTACTACTATGGATACAAAGTGACAAAAAATTGGGGGAAAATAATGAAAACATAATAATTAATAAAAGAAAAACAAATAAATACATAGAATCAACACACAAACTATAGACGCCAGTAAAACTGTGTTAAAAAGAAATAAAATCAGATCATTCATTTATTATCATTATAATTACCTTTCGGTTTCAATCGAAATACTCTGTAGGGTTCTTTTTCATCAAGACTGTGAGGCACACGGATCTCTTCAATGTCTGGCATTTTATGAAGCGCACATCTGAATCTAGTCTTCCAGGTCGACGGATCAGGTTGTTCACCACGCTTGTATTTTCCAGTGTGTTCTGCCCACATACGGAACAGAACCGCATCTTTATCCAAGTCGAAGTCAGGTTTTCCGGCGTGCTTCCATGTGACTCGGAATTTAGTCCTTTCCTTGTCGAGCCAGCACAGTCCAGGAACGTCTCCGCTGTCCACTCTCGCCTCGAGCCATGGTCGAAGTCTCTGTCGATCACTCGACATTTTGTCGTTGCTGGAATAAGACATAATACTGATATAATCACTTAGATTGTGCATATTTGCATCGAACATTTACTAGAAATACTATTCCAAAAATCACTCATGGAATCCTTTTCAAAATTTATATTTCTTACACTATATTTTGAAGAAAAAATACTTAATCTTATTACCTCGACTTCAGACTTCGTTTTAGGGAATTTCTTTGAATTAAAGTTCTTTGAATCAATTCGACTGGACTAAATTCATTCATAGTCTGTTCATTTTTTTTTACAGAGAAGGGCTTTCCCCTCACGACTTGATTCTCATTGGTTGACGTTTTGGACCTTTAGCAATGACTTCCCCTTCTACTTGTATAATATTATACCTTAGGGTTGTGTTCTTCCTTCATTCATAGCGACAGTTATGGGATTTATACACGGAGCCCAATGAACCACGGTGTCTCCTCTAAAAYCTTCATGTCATATTTATCACAGAAAATTTATTTTTTTACGTTTTATTGTTAGATGTTTTTATTCATATTTTCCCCTTTGTTTATTTAGCTAATTGTCTTCAGTCGTTTATTTTATTTCATTTCATTTTATTTATCATTTCATTTAATATTTTCTGCAAAAAAGGTTGTTGGACGCAAAATCGAGAAAATGTTTGAATATGCTTATTCATATGCAAAAAGTARATTGACATTATGAGGACACGAAGTATGAACATTTGTTTCGTAGTCTCATTAACGCTAACGTTCGTCGTTCTCTCCGACAGCGTTGAATAAATTATGAATCCGAAAAATGAATATGCAATGAATTATTTTTGTTAATGAATGTTCATTATGAGTTTGAAAAAAAAAAAAAAAAAAAAAAAAAAAAAAAAGAATAAATAAAAGAATGAATGAATAAGAAAAGTAAAGAAAAGAAAAAAAGAACGAAACTTTCAATCGCTGGTCGCTCGGGAATGTCATATAAACTTTTGTTTTCGAATTCGGAGCACGAGGCGGCATCAACAGTATCGAATTTGAACTTTGAAGTGATCTGATAAGAGAAATAACCCAATTTGGGCCAGCGGGTCACTTTCCCCTATAAAACTAAATATAAATACAAATCGATTGTAATCTTTTGAAACAGAGAAACAAATATATCCACACGGAGGAAATCCTTCAGAGAGGAATAAAAAAAAAAAAAAAGAAAGAAAGAAAGAAAGAAGTTATTCTAAAATTTATAAAAAGGTTTGGATTCTCTTTCTCATTCAAAGTGGACATAAACAATTTTTACAGCATTAAGGCTATGACCATTTTAACCCTAAAATTACACGTTACCAGTAAACATGTTGACTCAACTCTTTTGATGACTTGTGAACTAGTTAGTGTGTGCTGTTTCATACGTTTTCTAGCACTAAAAAACAGTCCTGGGTATTCCCTTGTTGTAGTCTATTTTACAGTGTACACCTTTRCCATAGGTCCCTCGTGCAACCATACTTTCCAACAGTTTGGAATCGATCCTGATAACTGAATGATTAAGCGAAAGCAAAACACGACTCTTCGTGATATTTTTCATTATTGTAAATTGAAGTCGTCAATTCTGACAAAATCACTTCATCCATATCTTGGTGCGAAACTACGCTGACAATCATTTTTCATAAGTGCTCCAGACAAATCTTGACAATTTTTTAAATAAGAAGAAAAAAATCCTGACAGTCGACTGTTTTCARTTGTTGTAGTCTAATTTAGTTTGAACTTAGAGATGGGTTGTTTTCTCACAGTTTGCCATATGGTAAAGGTTTTGCTTTCGTTCTATTATTTACCCTTACGCTTGTTCTTTCTTTTTCTATTTTAARGTTTTACTTTCGATATCAAAAATGCCCTAAAGCAAGTTTTTTTTTTCTTTTTTTAATACTCTTGCTATCTTTGCAAATGCATTGTTCGATGGAAAAATGAACCTGAATCTGAAATACCGGAGAATCTTTATGTTAATATTTTCTCATTTTTTCAAAGTAACGAAGAAGAAGAAGAAGAAGAAGAAGAAAAAGAAGAAGCCAAGCAGAAAATGGCATAAGCAGCTGAATTCTGGTAAAAAATAACCTTGAAACCACCTCATAACTACCTTAAAAAATCGCCGAGAAACTTCTAAGTTCTAAAAATAACTGATTGCTTGTAAACGAGTGTTAAAATACTCAGTTGACATGYTAGAGTACCATGTGCTAAAAATAGATAATGAATGACGCACGTGACGATGTTAGTGCTTGTCACGTGAGCGGAAGTCATTTTTTGAGCTGCAAATAAGATAGGATCAATGGAGCGATGCAAAGAAACTCGTAATTATTAAGACGATCTGTCTTAATGACAATAACCGCAAAAGGAAAGCTAGAATACAAGTAATAATAAAAACTTTTTGGCAACTAAGTAAAACAGAGACATTATTTTAAACCAAGATATCTCGTAAATACAGGGATGACCCTTTTTCTTTGGATGGCATTCAAATCAGTGTCCGGTCAGCAAGCACTCCTTTCTTGGCTTAGGGTCGTGTTTAATCTTCGTATAAGAAATATTAATTGACTTGGATTTTCTTATTTATTTTAGCACTTGTTGCAGTCAGGCTTTCTTAAACTAAAGGAACTATATTTCAAGCCTTTAGTTTAGAAGTGTATGTAGTTTAMTCATCAAAGTCCACGCCAAATAAATGGCATGTGATGGTAAACTTTGCATCGCCTTTAATGAAGCTTTGATTTTTTTAAGCGCGTACGTAATCACYGAGCTGTGCCATGTCCATGATATTTTTTAGGGGTTTTGCCGGATTGGATAACGTGAAATTTCTCCATACATAATTTGTCTAGTACTATGACCCCAGACGGAAAAGGCAAAGTGTTTTACGCGCGTGGTGACTGTCTGTAACTGAAAACCATATTTATCAAGTCTATTATCAAATGTTGAACGGGAATAAAGAGCAATGTTTGAAACAAAAATGAACTGGCAAGGCASAACAGCATTTTTTCACTTGTATTCCAGGAACATTATTGATATTGGTAAGAAAACAAGTGGAGTTCGAACTAAAACGTTGTTTTGCTTAAATACGTGCACTCCGACTGTTTGAAGACTCCCCTTCAGTAACTTTAGTCTTCCTTTTCCTTTTCCTTTTCTTTTAGATATTTTTTCTTTATTGTTTTGTTTTGTTATTTTCTTGTTTTATTTCGGCAACAATTTTCATTTATATCAAATGTAAATACCTCGCATTTTAGTGAACATATAACAGAAAATAAAGAACCTGGTGTTGTTTGATGATATTGTTAGTATAGTTAGGGTATACACATGCATTTCTTAGTCTTTTGTCGTAAAGGTTGAAAAGCAGGTTGCTAGCTTTGTGTTGTATACGTGCTGCTTCGAAACTTCAGCGCCAAAGACTCAMATAATATTTATTTGCTCTATTCGCCATAATTCACGTCAAAACTTTATCGGATACTTTGTGTTGTATACGTGCTGCTTCGAAACTTCAGCGCCAAAGACTCAGATAACATTTCTTTGCTCTATTCGCCATAATTCACGTCAAAACTTTATCGGATATATTCGAAAAATATCCGAAAAATATTCGTTCTGTTTTGTGAAGTGCTAGTTAGTTCCCTTGGCGTTTGATCGGTTCCGGTTCATGATTTAAAGCAAAATTTTTACTATGATACTCAAAAACTCATTATATGAATATGATGTCTTCATAACTGTCTTAGTCTTTGTCCTTTGACAATATATTATATTATATATATCTTTACATAGAAGGCTAGCCAAATTGCTTTGATGATTTGAAGATAAAGCAAAGATCATATTTGTTGACACAGGTGTTTTCGAGAAAGTATAGTTCCAAGATTCCAAGGTATCTCAAATTACTAAACTGAGCAGAAGTTTATGATATCAAAAAATATAACTGATACAATCATCAAAGACTTGAAGAAAGGCTTTAGTTAAAAATTTGTACGGTTAATTTATTTGAGATTGTGAAGGACAATCATTGTTCAACAGTTTCGTTCGTTGCGGTATGCCATCCACGAGTTTTTCATTCTTTATAGAAAGTGAAATTTTCATTTGCTTTCACGTGTGTGATGTCTTTTCTAAGTGTCTTCTTTGCTTTCTAACTCATTATATGCAAAAACAGTTGTCTAAGGATAAAARATTCGTACTGAATGAAAACAAGTTATTGGATTGATTTTGATGTGCTTCARAAAGAAATCTGAATCTCAGTTATTGCGCGATTAGACTGAAACAAAAATAACAAGCAAACTTAAGAAAAACACCGGAAAACACCCATACTTCCATTTAAGGCCAAATCAAATCTAATCCTTGAATGTGTTTATCATAACCGAATTTATTAAGAACCTATAAAAATGCTCATCTTTGACCAATAAATCGAGAAAATAAGAAAAGAAATGAAAAAAAAAAAATCAAAAATCAAAAATCAATGAATCGATCAAGCGAGGGATAAGCTGCAGCTCACGATCGCTAAAGGAAGTTTTCACACTCACCCATGAGGGCGTAGACGAGCAATTTAGCTACAGAAACTATTACTTGTAGTTTTAAGACCGTCCCTTTTTATCATGACCGTGTATAAAGGAAAATCTCAAGTGCAACAGGAAGTGTTAATTTTAATCTTTTCAAATCCACCATGGGACACGGAAATCCTCGACAAATACCTGTCAGATTCGAACGTTGAATTTATTGCACAATCATATAGCAATCCAAAGCAGATATACCTTTTTGGAAGAGCAGAGTAATTCGACAAAAAATTCTTGCGCGGTTTTTAAGTGGATAAAGAAAACTCAASTAACTAGCTAGCTTCGCCTTCTTCATGCGCTATGATTTAACGTGGCGCAAGGCAGGAAGCTGACACGGTAATTCGCGGTGGATCAAAGAATAATACAGTCGATCTATGACCGATAAAATACCGATTTTACATCTAGCTGTTACTTTAAAAGATTGTTTTTTAAAATCTTTTTAAAACAACAAAAACAAAATCTGGTTTTTCATTATTGAAAATAGGATTATCTTAATCATTTTCATCACAGTCCTCGCACGATTCCTGACGGGGTGGTCAGTCTYCATCGATATATTCCCCAAATCAACAGACGAAAACATTGCGTAGATGTTGTTTTACCGAGCTGAAACATTGCTAGTCCCCAAAAAGTTTTGAATTCCCAAACAGTTGTCAAATATAATACCGCAAGGCGACACTTCCTTCGGAGAAAAAGACAAGGAGTGACTTTTTGGCAGTGGCTTTACAGCGCGCGGCTTTGATCGTCAACAAGTTGAACGAAACTCAACAACCGCACCCCTCGTCGTTGGACAATTTTGGGCATTTAGGGTAGAAAATATTCCATTCTTTTTAAGTAAACTGTGTTTATGGCGTTTAATAATGGCAATAAACTTGGTAAATGTCGATTTAAAACCTAATTTTGGGGAACATAATCCACCAAATGACAATTCGAAAGCAAAACGTTTGACAGCGGTTACGAATCTTATTCGTAATTTCTGGAGTACAAAGCAATTCTGGTTTCCGTCGTAAATCACTTGCGATACATAACTAGGTTTTAACTTACCTTTCGTTTGAAAAATTATTGTAAAAACTGAAGTTTTAAGCTGGGGCTTTTCAGTTGTCCTTCACCAACAAGAACGCAGAGTGAAGAAATTWTTTTGGGGAAAACAACCGTTCGACACACTGCCTTTGGTTGGAATGAAGAGGTACAACTAAATGCTGAGATATTACTGGACGATGCGCTGTTTTTCTATTGGCTTGCACGCTGTACGGCTGAATGCTTTGCATAAACAATTCATAGCTCAATGCAAAGGAATTTTGCTGGCTTCTAATGTTTCAAAGTTCAAAACAAATGCAAAGCAGATGGAAGAAAATATGTCGTTTTAGGAATTAAAAGAGATTTGAACATCGTTGAACAATGCTTTACTTAGGGGTTTGTTCAACATTGTTAATCTTCATTTCAAGCGATTTTAATATTCATTTAGGCAGTTTCAAGTCTCATATATCTTTAAATTGCTTCTCCATACATTTTTCGGTTAAAGGAAGATGTGTGTGTGAAAAAAACGAATCTACCGTAAACCAAATACAATGAAAACAGCGATATAGCGACTATAAGCTTACAGCTTCTGAAATTCCTAAATCAACAATGTATTTATTTGGGTATTATTGCTTTAAAGAACTGAAAAGTTCTTACGTCACGGTAAAAAATACCAGCTTTGAATTTACATCCACAACGAAAAGTTAGCAAAACAACCTTTTAGAGCATAAATTCCAAGTATTCTTGAAAAGTTAACTAACGAAATTGTAAAGGATTATATATTAGTGCAAAGTCTACTGTCTAGCGATGTCTAATGAACTTACTAATTTGTGCAAATTTGTGCAATTTCTTACAAAGTTTTTTGACGGATATATATGTATGCACTCTAAAAACTAAAAAGTAGTAAATATAGGTTATATTCCAACCATTTTATGAGAGAAGAAAAAAAAAAAGAAAAAGAAAAAGAAAAAAAAGAAAGTGGTCCTATTTTACCAGATTAATTTTGACTAGTATTCATCGATATCTATAGAGTTCTTTCCAAAGGCCTTTGCTGTTTGATGAGTAAGATTGTCGGTTGTGCTTGTTTATCTGAAAAAATGAGCTAAGAAACAGAGCACGAGAAAAAAGGACAAGTTGAACTTCGAGCAGCTTGAAGTGGAAATTGGAACTTCGCACTTATCCGTTATATTTTATCAATTTTTTTCCTCGCTGGCTTGCAGAGAGGAAAGGTTACGAGTAGTGAAGAGATCGATCACCGTTTGATCGATATTTGAGGCAGCAATGGACCCTTAATTTGAATTCCATCGCAAGGAGCGGAAAATGTTGTCAGCAAAGCAAAAACAAATAAAAAACACTTTATAATCTCATAAATTTATCGAGCCACAAAACTCAGCTGCATTAGTTTTGTTTGTTGATGTTTTATGTGAACTTAAGACTGGATTTTATAGGTTTATCGAGGCGCCTTACTGATAAGGAAGGGAACGGTAGGCTGATCTAGACAAGTCTTTGAATGGCGGGATTATTTTCCTCTTCTGTTACCGCTGCGACTTGGGGGGTGGGGATTTGAGAGTACGGAGAACGAAGTAAATATGACTGGGGGATCTTAGGGCTCCTTCCATTAAAAAACACCCTTTACTTAAGAGTYTTAGTAGCTACGCTACGAATGAATATGGCCTTCCACTAGCATATGTACTTCTTCACTTTTTTGGTACCTTTTATGGCAGGAAAAGACCAATTTTTAACGATACCCTAAATGAGACAAATTCAAAGCCATGGCACCGCGGACGGCTAACTCAGTCACAGCATAGGAATAGGAGTTTAGCTTGTTAGGTACTGCGGAATGAGGAAAACCGGAGAACATACGCATTTCCTCATTGCTTCCTTAGGATGATAAATCAGGAAGAGTTGCTTTAGTACGCAAAAACAAAGAGTAAAAAGGTCAAATTAAAAAGAGAAATCCATTTTCGAATTTTCTGTTGGTCAGAGTTAGACTTAGCCTCCTATATGAAGACGTTCTTAGGGTCGGCGACAGTCACTGAGAGAATCCAATTCGGCTTACATCAATAACAGATGAGTGCAGCAATTCGTCAAAAAAAAAATAAAATAAAAAATAAATAAATAAATAAATAAAATAAAAAAACAGGCGAAATAGGATAACACAGCAAGTAATATAAGAAAGGTTTTAATCGTTCCACTATACAGTTAAATGCAAATCAATACTGATATTTTTGTACACCCTCAATTTATTYATAACAAGCAGTATTGAAAACTTTCGTTTCTCCACGTGCGAAAAAGCGTGCAATCGTTATTTGTTCGGCTGTCACCCTCGTAGCAGCTTAAATTGACAGTTATCGATATGTATTCGTTGATTCAGTTAATTCAAAAATTAAGCTGTTATGTCCAATCGATAAACATTCGATGTAGGCCTCTCTCAAGCTCGAAATACCTATACGTTTTCTAACTTCTTAAACCAATCAATATTACGTCGGCTGATTACATTCCAGTATTATTATATTCAATCGATATAGGTAAACTCTTAACTTATTCAATCGATAATTTGTCGTTTGGTAAGTTTGATCTTATTTAGCGACCGCATGCAGGCGATTAATTAATATTTTAAAAATCTTATCAAACCAATAGATATTATTTCGGCGGATTACTTTTCATTAATATTCGTTCGATATTAATACACTTTTATTTATCGAATCGATATTTAATCGTGTGGCAAATTCAATCTTATTTGTTAACTTAAACTGATCGATATTAACTCGGAAGAGGAGTAAACCTCGTCTCATTCTCGTTGACATTTACAATCAAGCATTACATTTTCAAAACCCGTTTTCTTAAGGGAGCATTCATGTTTTAGGACGGGTGGTGGACCGGCGGAACCCTCATAAACAGTAATGTAAAATCTTTAGACCCCCCCCCCCTTTCTTTCGTCTGCATAAAAAAGTGACCCTCCCTTAAAATTCATTGAATGACTGTCTCTCCCCTTTATGTAGTATAAAATATTCGATGACCTCCCCCCCCCTTTTGGCTGAGTAGAAATTTAATGGCCCTCCCCTGGATCCTTCTGGCCCAACCCCAACCCCCCCTCCCCCCCCATAATTTTAAGTAATTCACACATAAATGTGACCACTGATGAATGGACAATTTGAAACCGGAATTTATGTAAGGGGTACCAAGTATTTGACATAAAATTATTTAACTCTAATGTAACTATAGGTAATGCATTCTAAAAATTACAATGAATGCCGAGAAAGAAAGGAATTAAAGGAGTAAACAGTTATAGATAACAGTAACCTTAACACTGATTTTTTACATTCTAGAAACTATGGTCAATAGATACTTTTGAATTGCAAAACAAGAAAAAGAGGGTAGGTTGCAGAGTCTTTTTTTTGTTTTTAGCTTCTTCCTTGGAGTTTTAAAAGGTATGTCAATGTAACTCTTTTCATTTGTGCGTCCATTGGATGGGTGTGGTCATCTTAGTGTTGGTATTGTTTCATTGACAGTAAGCTGGTGATAAATAACAATGTATGATCTATGTACATANAAAAATAAATGTTCCCTAAAATTATTCTGAACTCCCCCCCCAAGTTTTCGTATTTAACCTGGGAAATTTATTTAAGAATAAAGTGGAAATCGTTCTCAGCTTAAAAATCCTCTCGGGAAAGAATAAAAATCTTATAAATCAATTAACAATTTACCAAGCCCTCAGCACCGACATCATGATGAAAACGTACGAAGCTACTTTCCATCTTGAGCAATGAAACCCACTTTCGATCGATGCACTCAAAACCTGCATAACCGGTACCATTGAACCTGCATAACCGGTATTATTGAACCGGTTAAACTCGATTCTACTGACCAGTGCTAAGAGGTAGAACCACCTTCATCTGTGTTTTGTTGATCGTATTTCTCTGTTTTTTCTTCAGTCTTTTTTCTCAGTTGTCTTTCATGATAAAAATTTAAAACATCATCTTCGTCGTCCCTTGCTGAGACGTGCCCGTCGGGTGAGTTCTGATTTTTAGCTAAGAGAGACTTCAAATACKCATCCTCTTCGCCACTAAAATCCAGTTCTGGATATCGTATCTGGAGTTTTGTCTTAATCTGGTAAAATAAAATTAAAAAAAAAAAAATAAAATAAAGAGTTTGTTTATATGTTGAGAATAGAGATTTTGCACCATCACGTGCCTACGCCCATAATACAGCTTGGGCTGCCTGTGGTTAGATGTCAGAACAATAAAATCCCTTTGCTCTCGGGATTTGAATTCTTTCTCATGTAAAACGAGTGTATTGTTACTGCCATGCTCTGCCGACTAGAAGGAATGAGCACGTTTTTAAATTAGTTCAGAAATGTATTTTAGGTAATTGTCCTCAATTTTTTAAAGAATATATTCATTTTAATAAGGGTAGGGTTACCAGACAGTCTAAATTATTACATTTGCCACGTGTTAGAACCGAAACTGCCAAAAAGTCTTTTTATTATGATGGGCATTTTATATAATAAATTCATTTCCTAGAAATTATACACTTGTCTCATATATAATATTTTGCAAATAGTATTTTAAATATAGTCATGTAGATTTTTAACGTACTATGGGCCGCTTTGCGGTTTGGGAGTCGTCTTCGGTGCGCGTGCGGGTTTGTCCCGATTCCTCACCTTCCTTCCTTACTTGGGAGGGTGGGGGGGGATTCGGGTTGGGGTCGCGTGCGCGCTGGAGGCGGTTCTCAATCCGTAAAGTGGCTTATATATATTCACACATATTTATAGTATTTAACTTTTTATTAATCCGAAGGGACTACCCTGGCTTTATTTATTTTCAAATAAAGGATTCATTCGTAAAGGTTTCATTCATTCATCTTAAGTGCCTGCCGTGATCACGTGACTTACGTTATAGGCGTGATGAAAGTCACGGGACGGGATTGGACGGATAACTCACAGATCGAATTCAAATGCAGCGTGTTAGGGTTTGCAGAGAGAGGAAACGCAGGCTAGAAAAACTGGAGAACCAAGAAAAAAAAAACAAAAAAAACTCAGATCAAAAGAGTGAGCCAACAACCTCTACTCACATGTGGTGCTGAGTCCTGGAATGGAAGGTGAGAGGTGAGTAGATTACCGCCACCCTTCATCCCTAAAATGAAGTTGAAATTTCCCTTGAGGACTTGCTTAGGACAGCTACACGTACCTTTCTTAATTCTTTGTTGTAGAAGTCTTGTAATTGTCTTTTGAAGCCATAGTTAGGGTTAGCAACCATTCGGACCACCTTGATAGCACGTAAAGTGTCACGCCAGTCGAGGTTCGTGATCGCCATAAGATATGCTGCGACTATGGTGGTTGATCGTGAAACACCAGCGATACTGAATGAAAAGTAAGATCATATGTATATGAGTTCTAATATATATTGAACTATATATTTGTACTGCGGTTATAATGTATCAAATTGAGCTGATCCTCGCAGCACCGGAATCGCCAGGGCACGCGTTCAAATCTGGTTCAAGACTCAGATGGTTTTCYGAGTCTTTCAATTTGCAGCTGCATAAGTTGCTTGATAAAGTTGCAGTTCGACACAGTATGATCATAGTTAACAGAGGGGCAGTCCTCTTTATTAAATTTGGTATGATGAATAAATATAGAATCCGGCATCAAGATACAAAACACACACACACACACAACAACAACAACAACAACAACAACAACAACAACAACAAAATGGATGAACGAATGAAAGAATAAGGAAAGGAAAAGTTACGAAAGCATCAAATATTCAAGTGAATATCAAATCAATAAAAGGATTAAAGCAAAAACCAATGAATGAATAACAAAACAGCAAGGAACGAAGACAATAGAGGATTGATGAATAGATGAATGTTAAGTGAATGAATCCAAATTTCCCGGGGAGGAAGGGGGTGGGGATTTTGTGACGGTTGTTTGTAGAGACGTGCTAAGCTTTTCCTTTTTCACCCCTAAAAGAGGGAGTGACATGATTTCRATGAAAAAAGGGAGATTGAAGAAATGAATGAATAGTCGACATGAAACTATAGACTTACCAATGAACTAGACAGCACCCATTATTAACCCTAGAGAAAGAATAAAGCAAATATAAAACAGAGGGGACTTGGTTTTAGGATACACATGTTTTGGGGTAGGCATGATGCAATATTCTTGTATAAGGATTTTTTYCCCAGGTGCTCAATAGACCATATAATAAAGGGCGTGTCCCTTGAGTTTACAAAATGCATAACAAAACCTTTATCAAATTAATAGTACATACCTACACTCATGGATAAAATCAATGCATTCTTCAAAATACGGTAACCTACAGAATAAGAAAACTATTCAATAACAATAAATAAAAATAATAATTCTATCAACACAGAATTAGCAGAACCAAGACTGACTAAGTGATGAATATGGTTACCACATTGATCATTCATTTGGATAAAAAAGGTAGTAAAGTTACTAGTCCTTTCAAGCTATCAAGACCAGCAAGACCACCAAGGATCATGGCCTGCATTTCTGGATATATTGGAACTAAGCATTTTATTCTTATTTTTATTTTGTGGGTGGGGGTGTGGTGGAGGGTCACATATCATACAGTGCTATGTCCTCTTATTTACCACGATTYTTGTCATCTAGTCGTCAAAAGGTTGTGGACTCACAAGGCATAGCTGGGGCCACTTATGACTCTAGAGAGACTCTAGACCAATCAGAAAGCGAGAAAATTCACAACCGTGGTGAAATTTCTAAATTTTCACACTAGGAATAAGGAATTTAAGGAATAAAAGTTGGCAAAAACTGAAAAATGGAAAAAAAGAATAGGAAAATTAAAATACATGATGAAGCACTAAAAAAAGGGGGGGAGGGGTGACAGGAGAAGAAAACCAGACGCTGTCCCAATTGACATATTTTGACCCCTAAAATTTTTTTTATACTCACAGGTCTTCCTCTGGTGAATCTGCAACCTGTATGCACTTGTACTGTAAATGCTTAAATAGATGCATATTGTTTATTTATTAATTCATTATAAGGGAGCATTCATTGATTTAGTAGGGGGGAGGAATGGGCCAGAGGAATCCCTATAAACAGTTATGTAAAATCTTTAATAGCCTCCTTTCTTCTGTCTACATAAAAAAGTGACTCTCCCCTTGAAATATGTTGAATTCTTGACCCTCTCCTTTGTATAGTATGAAATATTTGATGAGCCCCTTTTTAACTGAGCAGAAATGTAAGACACGCCCCAATAAATGCTCCCTAAGAATCCTCTTTTTTAAAGTAATTTCATCTAATATTATTGAAATTAAAAATCTAAAAAGGTATCCCCCCGCCCCTCCCCACTAAAAATGAATGCTCCCTAAGAATCCTCTTTTAAGTAATTTCATCTAATATCATTGAAAATTAAAAATCTAAAAAATTAATAATAAGGATAAAAAAAATATTTATTGAACATAGCATACTTACATCGAGCAATGGTTTTGCATTGTCATGCAGAGCTATGACATGGGTTACTTTGTTCTCGGCAAGCTTTTCAACATCTTTAGCATCTAAAAAGAACAATGTTAAGCCACAAAATCAWAGTTATGGTTTGTTTCAAATACATGTAATCTAGAACAAGCTATCTGAAAATAATTTGGGATGACTTTTATTCCTATAGCCTTTAATTCTATTGATTAATTACCTCTGAAATTCCCAAGATAAAGTCCTGAGACAATCTGAAAGGAGGAAAAATGGAATAAACACAATTGGTAAATTTTGAAGGACTAACTTTTTTTTWAAATTTGTAACATGAAATATGCTGTACCTATATACAAACTGATGTGTAGTTCCAGAAAATAACCCRTAACCCCCTCACGGAGCATGAGGAATTCTCTTAAGACACCCTCTTCCAACCCCCAGAAATTCTTCCAAACTTTCTTCCGTGCAAATTCTGTAATTTTTGTGCTTTCTCTGACCACCCAACTCTTCRGAAATTCCAAATTCCTCTGTGGGGTTGGTATGGATAATTTCTGGAACTACATATTAGGAAAAAAACGACAGCATCAACAACATGCAGTCTTTAGTAATTTTTACCTTCATTGATTTTTGAATATAAATATATTTATTTTGTTAATAATTCAATATGACGAAGAGCAATGTTCAATAATGCTCACAAATATATATATATATATATAAACTCGATTGCAGAAACGTTGCAGTATACATTTATACATATATCTAATTTCTTCAGTATATCTAATGATATGCAAAACAGAAAAATTGCTTTATTTATTGTTTGTTTCATTCAATGACTGTTAAAATATTTTTTTCTTGTCTATTAGATCGTACAGATTATAAATCAGTTGTTTTTAAGCGTTGGAAATGGTTATTTTGCATTATGCATCTCATTAGATATACTGAATAAATTAGATATTTATATAAATGTATACTATTATGTATATGTATATATACACTCGATTGCAGGAAGGTTAGGTAGTATACTTTTATACATATAAACAAATACCTTATTAGATGCAAAAACTTGAATGAATTGAATAACTGTTTACCCGGTCTTTCACATTAAAAATAAAGTTTTTCGAGATGTCGTATTCAGGAAGAATAAAAAAAAATTGATTTGAGAACAATGAGATRAAATTTTCTAGGCTGAAAAAAGGGAAGATATATAAATAGATATACTTAATTAATATCTGATTCATAAGAACCTTAGGTATTTGATGTGCTTAGCATCAAAGTAAGGCATAAAAGTATTTTTGTTAACTTTCAATATATACAYGATCATATTTTAGGAGTTTTTCCATTTTTGCAACTCATTAGATTTTTATATAATGCTATATGCTGAAATGTATACTACAACCGTTTTGCAATTGAGTGTATATATATTTGTGTCCTGCACATAATAACCGTAAGCTTCCCAGTTCACTCAATATCAAGCATCTCATTTTATTCACAATTATTTTCAGTGCATGCCTTGTTTGACGGTGTTAATGACATTAACATACAGATATAGAATATTCTCTATTTTTACTTTCCTTATTGCTGTCACAGCTATAGAGATGTTAAGTGTGACGTAATTTGAACGAAAAAAGACTTCCAGGTCCAAATTAATAATTACTTCTACAGACATTTTTCTGTGTCTTTTCTTCATAGCAGGATTTTGTTTCATATATCATATTGTTAAAGGAAGAAATAATTYCTGGGAATAAGTTGCGGCAATATTCTAGCTATCTTTTGCATGATTGGACCCGGAAATACATCACAACTTGAAAGCTCTATAGTGTTGTTAACTACAATTATACTTCTTTTATTCCCAGTATTAGATTTGCCATAGCCATTCAGATTGAGTAAAAGACTGGGTTGTTGGGCTGTCTAAGTGGACTTGTTTAAAATTCTTCATTTGCATGTTACGTCATCATGGTCATGTTGGTACCATTTAACAAAAGATTTCTCATTAGCATCCATTGTTAACGGTACCACAATGGCCGCCATGTTTTTGTCTTTTAACTCTCTTGGGAATGCTTGCAACCCATCAATAGATACAATCTTGGAAATATGTTTTCTAAAATAGTCCTACAATGGATTTCATCAACTCAACCTAGTCTTTTCCTCAACATTGCAATAGCTAGGCTTGTTGTTACACATCTCTCAGCAGGTTTAAAGAATACATTCTTTAGAAATCATGGCCATCCAGTTCAAGAACCTTAAACAATATTAGGACATTGGAAAGATTGTATAAACTCGACAAAAACGAGTAAAGATAATACTGTATAAAGTAAATAACCTTATGTGAATAATTTCAATTTATTAATAATTTAGAAAATGCAGTCACGTAAGTTTATATGAGTTTTATATACTGTATATTATTATATGGTCAATAAATGTGTGTCAGTGCAATTTTTACAACGCATTTTWAAAATTATATCGATACAAATCCTTATTATAATGCGGGCTGCAAGGAAGGAGTTATTCTTGAAACAGGARAGAGAAAATACTGTGATTAATAAAGGATTTGAAGTATTTGTACCTAGTACTTCTTGATGTGTGATGGGTATTAATAATGGTGTTTGTTACTCACAGTTTTAAAGTAAAGAAAACATTTTACCTTATCCATTCCGTTCCCCATGGTGGATCGTCTTTATAAATGGTCTTGGATGGTTCGGGGATATTTGCTGTGGTGAATAAATGATGATCAAAGATCAAAATACGAACTGCAAACCATCATTATGGATTAGCCGAGGGCCGAGGGCATAATAATATTGGAACCAGGGTACAACGGGCTGGGAGAGTAGGGAAGAAACTGGTGTAGAGGCTGGATCCTGGCGTGCCCGGGCCGCTTGGAACTCTGGGATTTTTGAAGAAAGGATTATAGTGGAAACTAATAGGAAAAAAAGGGGAATGTATGTAGTGAATGAGATTGTACTGTCAGTGCAAAGTTTCTGGGGTGATCCCCCGTGTAATATACACAGCTGACGTCATGATTTACGCACAAAGAATATGAAAAGCATATGAATACAAATGGATAGATGGATCACCCAGATTTCTGTAGATCTACGGTCTATTGATGCCTACTGAACTTACTAATTTGTGGAAATTCGTGCACTTTCTTACGAAGTTTCACTGAGATATGGTATGCACTCTACTGCATGATGAAAGTATACGCATAATCATGTGTAGTTGAAAAAGAGAAAAATAAAAAAAATTAAGGGTAAAGAAAAAAGGAATGGGAAGGAAGTATGAAAGGAAGGAAAGAAGCAACTGAAAGCGGGAAATAAACTATTGAATATCGAGGAAAAAAATAGTGCACAAAGGTCTGGAATTCAGTAAAATATTTATTATTAACACAGTACAGCCAACAAATACAAAACATTTATAAAACAAACATTTATATTACATGCAGAATACAGGCACGAAACCGAAGAAGCTGACGATACAGTGTTAAATAAAAAATTAATAATTTAACTTGCACATGTCAAAATGAAAACGACTTTTGAAAATGACTGTATAATCTTATTTTCTTTGGATCTGTGCCTCGAATGATTGGTTAACAAATGCATCACTTTTATTCTTTAGCAAAAAACCAAAGGGTTTGTTCTTTCTAGAGGTGTACCAAGGAACTAATTCAATTTAAGGGCGTTGTTTTAGGGGTTGGTTCGTGGGTATGAACACCCTAAACCGAGAACGAACACCCTAAACAAGTGAATACGAACCCTTCTTTTAGGCTATATTGTTGATATTGAAGCCCCTAAAACATAAGGGTGAAACGATAACAAACCCATATGTGAGCTGAGGATTAAGTATTTGGCAGTTTGTTTTCACTATTCTTACTTTTTTGCTTTGCGAATAATTTACCCTCCTTACTCAAATTCATCCGGGATTCGCCCCTGAAATTTTATAAATAGTATGATCTTGTAAAACTAATACAGTACCGACTACAGTTCATAATTGAGCCACCTACTGTCGTGCCAACAAATGGTCACTAAAAAAAGAACAAAGAACAACAAAGGAATTGGCCGTCTACGTTATTTTGGTAAGATATGAATTCCCATTCATATTTTTTGAGATTAGTGCCAACTGAATTCTATACAAAAATTGTAAGCCATGTCATTATAGCGTCATTCCTACAACCACTACCAGAATTCCTTGCACGCTTCCTTCAATTCTTTGAAAACGTGATACCTGATCCGAAATAGAATTCATGTACTATGAAGGAAGCATTCAGTTAGTGGTAGTCAACATGATGTCATAATACAAAAGGCCTGTGTAATTTAGAACAATTTTAAAAATCGTTTCTGCGACATGGACAACTACTACAAGTCTAGTTAGTGTTAATTCGGGACGTCCGTCTTTAAAACAAATCAAAAAGACAGATCTAGCCATATTATTTAAYGTCTGATCAGTTTAAGTGAAATGCCAAAAAGCGTACCGTGTCTGGAGTTGTCTACGTCGCAAAAACGAAAAATAAAAGGAAGTTTTAAATGAATGAGGTTTTAAATAACGTAACTTTGATTGTCATCATCATCGTCTATTTCTACTTCAGCAGTCTGTATTTAAGACATAACTTTGTCTAATTCAATATTACTGGCTGAATCCATACTGACAGTTGGAGTGAGAGTTCCAGCTGGGCCAGTCTGTCTGCTTTGCCTTGTTGGGAACATTGGACGAACGCTATTTCATATCAAAGTAGCATGTTTTCGTACTTTAGGGATATCTTCTCGATGCCTCCAGTCATGGAACGCTCGTATTCGACGTGAATGCAAAGCTGAGATTATACTTGGTTTCGAGGCCGTATCTTCTTGTTCCACCTCTGTGTCCTTGTGAGCCGCCCAAAGCCATTCAAACGCAAGAACAACAAAGCTTATTGCGATTCCTGCACCGACGACGATGAATATTCCTGCGAGGTCTCCTAACCCCAGCTGATTTCCATCTTCTCCTGCCGCACCGGGTTTCCCGCTGCATCTTTCATCCGAGTGAATCCATTTCTTTTCAAGTATGTCCATTACACCCTTGTGACGAAGCTCAAGGATGGCATTGCTAAGCTGTTGAGTGTAAGGCGAATCCTTTTGGAGCCCAAATCCATAGCCAATCTTACCAAGAAGACTCCCAACAGTTATCAAAGAGCCACACTCATTCTGCTTATGCGCAATGTACTCCAATACCACAGAATCCCATATAAAAGCGTAATTTTCGTTTTTAGCTCTCTCTATACCTTCTGAGCTGCTTTTAACGAGGGTTTGATGATATTGCATGTACTGCCACATGGTAACAAAGCTCGGGATCGTTGATGTTTCAAAGAAAGCTTGTGGTTGACTGTTTTGCACTGTGCCATATGAAATACTCCTTTGTTGTGCCAGTTCGCCTACAGTTTTCACGGGAGATGAAAAACGCTGAATTGTAAGAAAGGCAGCAAGGTTAGCAGTGTACGATGACATGATTATGAGAATGGCAAACCACCATACGGCAACAGTGATCCTTCCTGGTGAACTCACAGGATGTAGATGGTCAGAGCTTTGTCCAACGTAGTAAACTACTGTCGACCAAAGAGACCTTACAAGAGTCAAAGTGTCCCGAAACTTGAGATGTTCTGGATGCACTCTGCTTAAGCATGTCTGAACACAGCGACCATAGTATCCATAGGGACTGAATGTACTGAAAAACCACAGAAAGAAGCCAACAACAATCATAGTCACTCCTATTGCAAGCCACATGTCGTAGCGAAACGGCCTGAAGAACGAGAAGTATTCAGAGGTTTTAGTGACCGATTTAATCAAAGCTGTTAGACCAAGGTTGATGTAAGGTTGAGTGAAGTCAATAACGCGTTGTCTCTCAGGGCTGATTGTAAAAGAAGCCACTGCAATATCAGCTTTTCCCTGCAGAAGTTCCTTCACCATGCCATTCCATTCTTTAGTTAATGAATCCAGTGAACCAAACTTATTGTCTGAGACAGGGTAAATCTCGTAGTTAAACTTCATTTTCTCAGCCAATTTGTCAAGCAACTCGATGCAATAGCCACTAAATCTGTACTCTTTCTTTCCGTCCTTTTCCGAAGTAAACATGTACACAAAAGGATGTTCCTCGATGGTGACGACCTTCAGAGTCCTGTTCTCTATCAGGTGGGTGCTGTCTGAAGGAATGTCGACTTTTCCTGAGGACCACACGATTTCTTTGTTCGGCTCCATGACAAGCCTAACCTTAGGATTCCAATGTCCAACTTTCTCGAATCCATAAGTTCGCAGATTTACAACCTCAAACTCGTCTTGAACAGGTGAACGACTGCTATCAAACGCCAAGTTATCAGACATAACGCCTGAAGTATTCACGTTACTCAAGTATTCCATCAGATATTTTCCTTCAGGTCTGGGAGCTGTTTCGGATTTCGTATAAATTCCAAACTTTTGAGTTACGTTCGAGATGTTATATCCATGATCAAAAAAGTTTTGAAGACCTTCAGCGAGCACTAGCACTGCATCAAAGGTATGACCGGCTGCAGCTTCATTTCCAAAGGATATTTCAGGATAGCCCGCGCTCTTCCAAGCAGTTTTGAAAGCATCCGACATTTGTCCGTGCCCAAAAGTATGCCGTATACCTACGACACCTCGTAGATAGTCCGGTGCTGTCATACCCGTATAAAATGGCTCGTGTGGTCCAAATGCTCCGCTGGTAAGTATCCATACACGGTTTTTTAACACTCCCAAATCACGAGCCTGTTTCAGAATCGATGGAACATACATAGCAATACAATTCAGGATGATGATTCTTGCGCCACGACTGCGGATGTGCATGAGTTGATTTGTTGCATTGATAAGGRAAATATTCTTGTGTTCTTGAAAGGTTTCATACGCTAGGATTTGCCAACCATTGTGGGATGCAATGTCCTTCAAAGTGACAAGTCCGTTGAGGCCATATTCACTTCGAGATGAGATGAGAGCCAGACGAGTCCAGTTAAAGTGAGCTATAAAATCTGCAATCACTTGGTTCTCGATGGAATCACTACTGCTCATCCGTAGAAAATACTTGTAGAAGTGAGAAGAAAACTCGAAAGGCGAATCAGTAGCATAAGGAGCGATTTGCGGTACACCAAATCCTTCACAAAAGGGATAGGTAATCTTCACCATAGGCGATGTCATAGGACCAATGATTGCGACAGCCCCTTTGTAAATCTGCCAATAAACTGTCTCAATGTTGTTAAAAGAATCCAACCAATCCGTGTCATTTAGTTCCACAAGCAACTGAACGTTTGGTAGGATGGAAGTGCTGTTGTTGATGTATTTAATGCCAAGAAGAAATGCTCGTTTTTCCGTCATGTCACAATCTTTGCAAAAGATCCTACCTATCTTGACTTCGGTTGGAAAGGATTCAGCGCAGAAGAAATTCAGGAGAAGTATCCATAGGAAAAGCAACGATCGCCAAAACACTTTTAAGCAAAACATTTTCTGATCAAATCCACAGGCCTCTGTCAAACTTACAAAATCCTGTTTGTTTCTGATTGAGTTAACCGTTAAAATTCAAATATTTGTTGTGACATTGTTTTTTATATAGCGCGCGCCGATAGAGTACATTTAAACAGTGCGCGCCAACTCTAGCGGCGCGCGCTTGTTCGGTGCGCGCACTACTTGCGCAAGTTAGTGCATTTTCTCTTTTCAAACACAGAGTACCCAAGTTTTGATTGACGTTTCAGCTTCATCAAAATTATTAAGATTGACTTAACTAAGATGAATTTTATAAATCTTTTATAAATCACATTTTTCTCGCATCGATATTCTCCGGTTTTCCTCCCTTCACAAAACCTAGCACGCTAAATTTCTGTACATGTTAGCTATGCTTTGACTTTGATCAGCCCAGAGGTTGTTTCAGGGTTCAATCTGTGAGTTAGCCATGCCCTGACATAGATCAACCCAGAAGTTGTTTCAGGGTTTGATCTGTGAGTTAGCCATGCCCTGACTTAGATCAGCCCAGAGGTTGTTTCAGGGTTTGATCTGTGGGTTAGCCATGCCCTGACTTAGATCAGCCCAGAGGTTGTTTCAGGGTTCGATCTGTGAGTTAGCAGTGCCCTGACTTTGATCAGCCGGAGGTTGTTAATTTCAGGGTTCAATCTGTGGGTTAGCCGTGCCCTGACATAGATCAACCCAGAAGTTGTTTCAGGGTTTGATCTGTGAGTTAGCCATGCCCTGACTTAGATTAGCCCAGAGGTTGTTTCAGGGTTCGGTCTGTGAGTTAGCCGTGCCCTGACTTTGATCAGCCAGAGGTTGTTTCAAGATTTGATCTGTGAGTTTGGATTCTTTTTTCTCTAAAACTTAATTTACARCTGAAACCAAGCCATTATTTTAAATTTTGCCTTCTTGACTTCACTTGCTTTTGTATTTGACTGAACACACATACCGAAGCAGTCATTCAGTTCAACTCTTTTCTAATCTACGTACAGACTTATTTTGAAAACATTTTTTTACGAATCTTTAAAAAAAGACAAACAGTTCAAGCATTATTATGAATCCTGACTTCAATTATATTACTTTTAATTTGAGCTCATTTAATTTTTTATCATGCTATTTGTCATTAATGATAACAGGAAAACCATGACTTCATTACGCTAAACCAATTACAGTTGACTTGAAATAATTTGTTGACGTTTGCGTAGGCGGAAGTAAACCGAAAACCTAAAAAAACTCCCAAGGCTTTCAAAACATAGTAGATATTCAGAAAACCTTTTTTTCTCGTTGTTTCTAGTAACTTAAAATTAATATAAATGAATACTTTTCGGTCTCCTGTTGTTTTGATCTAATTATGTTGAATCACACTAATTTGCTTTATTTAGTGGAAGTGAGGGAGGGGGTTTTCAATTGAAAACTCGATTCAATTCCTTATTTAGTTTGAAAGGTAATCTTTTTACTCTTCTGAATACAAATGAAGTCTTTATTTACGTGCTGTAAGTCAGTACCGTATGTTTCCCACTTATACTTACAATAAAAACTCTTATGGGAAGCCATTTTGATGTTACGACCGTATACAGTGTTGTAAGTCAGCACCGTATGCTTCCCAGTTACAGTCAATTCAAAAAACGTTGTCGTCGACCGGCTCAAGCCTACGCGACTTGACCGAAAGGAATATGGGTAAAAATCACTGAAGCGGTTAAATATTCGTTTTGAATTAATTGTTACCGCTAGTAATAAGATAATAATGGCGAGAACAATCCATCAAATGCTTCAAAAGTCTTCGGGTTTAGGGAAAGAAAAACAAAGTAGTTATGATTAAGTTCACAATTTTGAAAATATGAAGAAATTATAAAAACGTCTCCTTCAACACTTCCCGCCTCGCCTACGAAGGTTCGTGCTGTAAACCAGGCATAACTAGTCAGATAAAATTATGGACTCAAACTCGGCTTCAATGATTGCCACCCAGAGTTCCTTTCGGTCCAGTCGCGTATTCTAGAATTGGTCGACAACATTTTTTGAATTGACTGTAAACGATAAACACACTCTTATGGGAACGAACCCATTACACCCGATGATACTACAACATGACGTACCGTATTCCTGCATTACATAATTGAGGAGGTGGGGTGGAGAGGGAGGGGGATTGCGTAAATTCCCCAAAAAAATATCCGCGAGCAAGCTATTTAGCTTCGGCTACGAAAAAAATATTGCGCATTCTCTCCTTCTAGTTCTAGAGAAAATAAATATCGGCCGAACTACACACTCATACACATACACGAAACAAAAATCGTGTAGGGGTTATTACAAAATAATATAAATATCCGTGCAACATAAATTTCTCCTTATTGTATTGAAACATGCATTTTCACCTAGTAACAAAGTCACGTTGCTAACAACAAGTTAACTTTTTCTGACAAGTTAACAACAGGTGGATTTGTATTGTTTGTCAGACGCGCCTTCCCTCTGTGTGACCTTCGGACTCATCATCACACAAAATTGGTTTTTTTCCCCTGTGCTCTGATGGTAATTCTCCTGTCCTGTAGCACACAAATCGGTACTCTTATATTTCAATTCGATTGCAAATCATTTTCGCAACCTTTTTGGAGAAATTAAGATCTAAAACCTCATTTGTCCACGTACAACCTAAATTGGTTAACAAGCTTAAGTAAATTCCAATCAAAACAATATTTTTTCCATCTCTCCTTAAAATTAAGGTGTCTTTTTATGTGTACTTTAGCATAGTGTAAAGAGCTTTTCTTTGCCAATAATTCGTCTATCATTTCAACGTAACTTAAATAAAAATTGCTTAAAAATAATGGCGATCATAGATCTAAACTTATTCAATATTTTTATGCCAAAAAGTTGCGAAACAAATGACTATCTGTACGTAGACTTAAGTAGTGGTGTAATTTTTGTGCTTAAATCAAAACTACAAATCATTACCATTATCGAGCCAAGAATAATTATCAAAATGGACTGAAATATGTGAACGGAAAGTTAATCAATCTGATTGGTTAAAAAGAAACTTTGTATTGACAACTCGTAGGATGTGTTTGTAATTGGAACAAAAGTCATTGATAGGCAGCTGCAAGACTCTTGAGGCGACCAAAAAAATATTCTTTTATATATTTTTACTTGACCGAGAATTAATCAATTCAAACTTAAGATTACCGCTAAAAGCACTAAAGAACTGATTGTAAGAAGCAGATATCGATTCTTAAAATCTAGCTCGCGCTAAGGGGGAATTCGAATATCGTCTTCAAAATTTAAATTTGTGAAAAGCTAAAATAAGCTAAGTCTAGTGTCAAAACACTAAGACGTATCATTGCAACTCCAGACTCGTGCAAACCTAAGATGTCTGCGAGCTCAAAATCTTCGATACAGTCGTTCTTCGAGGCTAAGAATCATTGCCGAGAGGCGTTCAGTGTACTTCACGAAATGCGAGGCAATATGGAACTTTGTGATGTGGTTCTTAAAGTTGGGAACCTGACATTAACTGCACATAGAGCAGTTCTAGCCGCAACTTCACCTTTTTTCAGACGTGAGTTTTCTTCGTCTGAGCTGGATCGGTCTAATAACGAGTTTGTTATGCCTGATAATATCCAACCTGAGTCCATGGCTGCTATGATAGAGTTTCTTTATACAGGATCTTTACATATCAATGTGAAAAACACAGAGGAACTTCTAGAAACTGCATGTTTATTAAAGGTAAGAAATTTAATTCCAAACTAGAAAAATTATCTTTAGCCGACAATTGAAATGATTCAAAATGTTAAACGAAGCAAATGTAAAATCGAAATTGAAATTTTGAGTTAACTCAACTCTAAAAAGATATCCGTACTTTTTCAATCCATTTATTCTGATTTCTGACWTTAATAATTAACATTAAAGTTGGTCGAACTAGAAACCTGCGAAATAAATGACGTTGCAACATTTTCAGTTTTGAATATTACACACACCTTTCAAAAGTAAGGTTTGTTTGTATAGTACAATATGATACGTTTCAACGTTGTGCCTGGCAATAAACTTGCTCAGGAAGAATCCAAACGAAAACTAAATAATATTTGATTTTATTGATAGTAAATTTTTTAAAAGAAAACAAGGATTCGATTAAAACGACGAGTTAGAAATCAAAATTGTACTTTGAAAAAAAAAATCTAGAAATTTGTATATAAAAAAGAGGATTGATAAACCCTAAAACATTGGCATAATGGTTTTGATATTCTACGTGTGTAAGAGGTAGTAATGATGATAGAAGTCGTGAATAATACATTGAAGATTTGACGTTTGTTTTCCTGCGATGATGCTAGTACTGTTTACCTTCGTATGTTAAAAAAAGAAAAATATTTTTCGTCAAATTTGTCCTAAAAATTGAAAAAAAATACCCGAAAATAATACCAATATATAAAATTATCACTGTCACGAAAAAGAAAAAATATAATAATTAAAAAACGATAAAAAAAGAAGAGGAAAAAAGGTAGTCATATAATTTCTRAAAATATCTTAGGCACACTCCTTAACTTTTATTTTCTTTTAAAATGTCCACAACAAAAATCATCTCCTTTTCTAATTACGAAGACCAATCAAGACCCATGACTCAAAACATTTCTAAATTTGACTCTCATAATTTAATATCTCGATTTTACTGGTTCTGTAAGTGTTCTATCATCTAGTCCAATCAGAGATTTGTTTGCTTAAACATATTGAATTATCTTTGGCAACTGGTGGCTTAAAATAGACTCAGTTATTAATTAAACATAATATTACTGATATCAACGCAATCTAACGAACTTGTAGACTACCTGCAATTAAAGCTTTTGTGCAGCCCACTATGGTGGTTTTCTCTATGAATTTTAATTCGATCTTTGGGCTTTTTCCCTAGTGTGGAGCTTGAGGCTTTGTTGTGATAGTCCCACGTCGTGATACAACGGCCAAAATTAGAAGCTAAAAGAAAATAAATAAAAAAATAGAAGAAAAAAGAACGAAAAGAGAA